GCACCCTTGTCTGACTCCTGTATTTACTCCAAACGCCTCACTGAGTTTTCCGTTGTGGATCGCTTGACATGTTCCGTTGTCGTACAGCCGTTGAATAAGGTTAATGAATATTTGAGGTACGCCGTAGTACTCGAGTAATTTCCAAATTACTTCGCGGTCAACGCTGTCGTGAAGGCCTTCTCGAAGTCTATAAAGTTGAGGTAGAGGTTTGATTGCCATTCCATGCTGTGTTCTGTGATGATGATGTGTAGAGTTGCAATTTGGTCAGTACATGATTTGCCTTTCCTGAATCCAGCTTGTTCTGGTTGGAGTTCTGTATCCAGTGCGTCCTTGATTCTCTCCGGGATGATGCGACTCAGGATTTTACTTGGCGTCGACAGCAGCATGATTCCTCGCCAGTTCTTGGAGAGTGAGGCGTAAGTCGCCCTTCTTTGGTAGTTTCACGAGGTAACCTTTTCTCCAGTCAGTAGGCACCTTTCCCTCCTTCCAGACCTTTTGCAATAATGGAGTCAGCATGTCCGCTGTAGTCTCTGGGTCCGCCTTCAGTGCTTCAGAAGGTATTCCATCTGCTTTTCCAGGTTTCAGAAGCTTGATTGCGTTCAAGACTTCAGCTCTCGTTGAAGGATTGGTGTCAACTTGCAGTTGTGTGCGCGCTGTTATTGGTATTTCCGGACGGGTTGCAGGTGATGGTCGGTTCAAGAGTCCTTTGAAGTGATCCGCCCATTGTTTAATCTGTTTTCCTTCCTTGGTAATTGGGTTCCCTTGGCTGTCTTTTATAGGTTTCGCTTGTGTTGATCTCTTCCCGGATAGAGATTTGGTTATCTGATATAATGTCCTCAGGTCCCTTTTGCCTGCTGCCTTCTCAGCTTCAGTGGCGAGATTGTTGTAGAATCGTCTTTTGTCCTTCCTAGCACTCTTCTTCACTTCTTTGTCCAATGCTTTGTAAGTTGAACTCATCGTCTCCTTCTCCTGTCCGTCCTTGCATTGAATCATTTTCTCTTTCACCATTCTTCTCTCTTCTATTAATTTCCAAGTGTCCGTTGAGAGCCATTCCTTGTCTTGTCTCTTCTTTCTTCCTAGAACCGTTGAACACGTTTCGTTGAGAATCGCCTTCAGAGACTTCCAATGTTCTTCCACGCATGATTCTTCAGTGATGTCGCGTAGTGTTTCCTGCTTTGCTCTGACAGTTGCAGTGAAGGTGTCTTTTGTGGTTGTGTCCTTCAGTAATTGAGTGTTGAACTTGCATTGTGGCCTATACCCAGCTATCCTCGAGGCTTTTAGCTTCACCTTGAAAGTCCCTTCTACTAGATAGTGGTCTGAACCCACATCTGCTCCTCTCCTTGACCTTGTGTCCAGTAGGCTCCGTCTCCACTTTCTTGAAATTGAGATGAAGTCTATTTGGTTTTTGGTGTTTCCATCTGGTGAAATCCATGTCGTCTTGTGTATATCCTTGTGTTTGAACACACTGCCACCAATCACCAAATCATTGAAGGCGCAGAAGTCTGAGAAGAGTTCACCATTGTCGTTCATTTCACCGAGGGCCTCTCGACCCATGGTGAGTTCTCTTCCTGTGTTGTCTCCTCCCAGCTTCGCATTCATGTCGCCCATCAGGATTTTGATATCGCCATTTGGGACGTTGTCCATTATTGCTTGTAGTTGTCTGTAGAACGCCTCCTTCTTCTCTTGTTCTGAGACGTTTGTAGGCGCATAGCATTGAATGACTGTAACTTTCCTTCCTTTTGAGTTGAACCTGGCTGTCATTATCCTGGAGGAGATTGGTTCCCACTGCATGAGAGCTTTGGCTGCTGTTGGTGACATCATGATGGCCACTCCCTCGGTGTGCTCATGGTTGTCCTCTGGGTGGCCGGAAAAAATTACTGTCTCTCCAGTAGGTAGTTGGCACCTTCCAGTTCCGTTCCATCTGCTTTCGCAGATTCCCAACACTTCTATTCTGTACCTTCTCATTTCAGCGGCTATCTGGGCAGCCTTTCCAGTTTCGTACATTGTACGAACATTCCAGGTACCCATCCTTACTTTTGCTTTCATCGAAAGAAGGCACATCGGCTGACTGGCTTCCTGAAGGCTTTCACCAGCCTGCGTCATTTCACTTCCTCGATTCCAGCGAAAAGTAAGGCTATTGCTTATGTTTTTAGAATTTTTAATATATTTATTCGTTGAAGTTTCTGTAGCGATTTGGTTGTTTTACAGGGGTGGAGTTGCTAGCACCACGCCCCAACCCTCCCTCTTTACCCGGGCTTGGGACCGGATAGAAAACTAGTAAGCTAGTAGCCTAGCAAGCTAGTATCTGGCGAGGTTGTTAATGAGTAAAAGTCAGCGTAAAATTTAGCATACTTTTGTCTACCAATGAGCATGTTATAGGGGTGTCATGGTGAGATGAAACATCAGGATGACAAGGCAGCTGAAGGGTAATCATATTTATATATCTTGTTATAGAGAAGTTTCTCGAAAATTAATCGACAAATTTGGTGTTAAGGGGTAACCAAAATTAGTAATAATTACGCAGTTAGATAAGAGAAGATCGAAATTTAGATTGTAAGAGGTCAGATTAAAAAAGATGATGATGTAATATGGTGAGTAGAACTCTTAAGAAGGATTATCTTCTATGGATGTCAAACAGAAAAAAACGAGTGGTGGTGACGGGGCGTTGAAAAGATAAGTTAGTGAAATTAGAAAACAAAGAGTTATTACGGGATGCTTCACCAGGGCAATTGAAGTTCAACGGCAAATTCCTTTTAGATGCGCAGATCAGGTTTCAGCCGTTTTTTTTGCGATAGCTCCAGCAAAACAAAGACTTGATGTTTTTTAACTGTTTGCGTCGGTGGCACAGTGGTTAGGACTCTCGCCGACCATGCACATGGTCCGGGATTCGGTCCCCTACCGACGCACACTCGATTTATATGGTCGGCCTGCAAAACTTGGGCTACCGATATCACATGCTGGAAATTCCATACTTATACTGAAAATACGGTGTGGCACCAAGCTGTAATCAAAATTTTGAATGATGCCAGCGCGTCGACTCGGTGTCCAGTGTCTATCAGGTGTTTGGTAATTGAAGAGCTTAAACTGATTGGCACATTTAACCTAATATTTTATCTCACCATGACACCCGTATAATATGCCTATTGATAGACAAAAATATGTTAAATTTTCATTAAAGATTATAGGGTGTATGCGGCTGATGAGAACCGGCGAAAAATCAAATGGATCTATGTTATTCTTCACCAATATTTTATTCTTTCTCTGTTCAGAGTATTTCCCAGTATTCACTCAACATCTAACGGTATTATAGGAACAAGGAAACAAACATTTATTATCATAATCATCACGAAGGTGAAAAAAGGAAGTCAAACAATTTTTTTTTTGAGCGTGAAATATTCACATTTGTTTATTTATATAGAACCCAAATTCTGAAAGAAAAAAGATCGATTAGACTTATGGACTGTAACTTAGATTGAATGAACGAATGTATATAAATCAGTAAACCGATAACACTGACAAGAATGATGACGCTGATAAGGAGATAAGGGAACAAAGAATGTAATACAACCTATGCATATATATCACGACAACTATGTGTGTGTGTGTGTGTGTAGTGTAGTGTAGTGTAGAGAATCGAAAAGGCAATCGACTAAAGTGAGATGCAAAATAAACCATACATTTGTAGTGGTGACTGTACGTGATAAATATCATTAACCTACACACACCTGTATCTACTCAACAGCTTTTTTTTCAAGACGTCTCTGAAACTCCGCTCGTTACTTTTGCACAAAAGAGAAGTGAATACATACGTGTGCATGCATACAAACACACTCTGTGACATAAACATAAACAGAGTAATTAATTAGACAATCAAATAAAATGTATGTCATATGTATACGATAGAGAGGCATAATGGCAATGATGATGATGATGATGAGTGAATAAAGAGTAATCAGTTAGTTATTGAAGAAGAATATGAATAATAGTCTCTAAGGGGCAAGCAAAAACATAACAAATATAAATTGAGGCTTATTTGGTAGAGGCTCCTTTCTTTAGCATGCCCACATATGAAACTATCATTTTTCTTTCCCGGTTGGGATAATCATTATTGCAAATTCTAGTAGTTATACCACAGTCAAGTAATTTGTTAATCATTAGGACAGAAACAATAGAAACATGAACTCCACATACTCCGTACTCCAGTTCGTTAGGCTATCTACCCATGAAGGAAGAGATGGTGAGAAGAGTAAAGAAAGTAAGAAAGAAAATTTAATGGAAGAATGGAGACAGCGCTTTATGTCTCTTAAATTAGCCAACTAAATAAAAGAATAAAACAAGGAAGTGAGGAGAAGAAGGAGCAGGAGGAAGGGGGGGGAACCCATTTGCGTCATTAATAATAAACAGTAATCAGTAATGGAAAGGAATAAAAGAAAAAAGAGGCATAATCCTCGAAACATCTGCATCTAGTTAATTAGACAGTGAACAGTAAGACAATATTTATGTGGTTAATAAGCAAATACGCACATGTGGAGAGAGTTTTCATCACATTTTGTCATTCCGTTTCATTTAGACATTAATCAAAACGCATCACAGTATGATTAAAAATAAAAAAAAGGCAATTCATTTTCAAAACGGTGGAAACTAAGAAAAATAATGTGAAATTGTGTTCATACACGTGTGCATGCTTGTGTGTCGGTTTGAATATGTTGACTGAATCACTTGACATATTGTTAACTTTTAAGATAAAATGATCGTGAGAAGGTTGCATCGAATTAAGCTGACGAGAATGAAGAAGGAAATAGAATTTGGTAGGAGTTGTAGCTCCTGCATATGTATGTAATCACACAGAAACACATTCAAAATTTGACTTGAAACAGTTGTCAACTGACAATATCTTTGTATATCTACGTATGTGTGTGTGTCTGATGAAGATTTAGAGACAATGAAAGAAACTGGTTAAATTTCTTTTTTTTTCGACAGCATCGCCTCACTCTCTTCTCTTAGACAGCACGCCAATTTTTTAACACATGACGAAATGAATGAGTTATCCACTGGTTTTCCAGGAGTGAAAATCGTTCAGCATTTAAAAACAGCGGTTTACCACGTCTGTAATACAAGAGATAGACAAAAGAGTACAGACAAATAATATATATAATTGAGTGCATTTTGAAATGTTGAAACCCGAAAATTTCATCTAGGTGTTTATCCACTAAGCTAAGAATTATACGTGAACACTAGTGTCTGTACAAAAGCGTCTAACTTGTGACTCAAAAATTGCACACACACACTTCTATGCTAGAGCATAAGGATATGCCTCCAGTAAATTCATAACGGATTCTGATAAATTTATCAACATCCGTTGACAGTTATCTACGACCGTGTTGAAACTGACTGAAAAACTCCAACTAGGATTGTTACCTTGATGTGATGATTGAACTTACGCAAAACGGTGATATGGCAAGTTATACTGTAACAAATTTCCCTACAAGAGAAAAGGTCAGTTATTCACGGTAGGCTTAAGTCTGAGGAGATTTACATGTATTATTACAGTACTATTCCCTTAGGCTCCGAGTGGTTCTTACAGCTTCAACAGCACATCTCCATTTCATCCTGATTTCTGCAGTCATCTTTAGCTAGCCACACGATCGCCCATAGACATTCATCGCCTAGTGCGCGATGTCACTCAGCGGTCGTTTCCGAGTGTGTCCCACCCATCTTCATTTTCTTCGACATATCTATTGGCCAATAGGTTCTTGGTTAGTTCTTTGAAAGAGTTACTCATCCTTTCTGGCCATTTGATTTTCAGCATAGGATGAAGGCAATTGCAGCCTGCTGGAAATGTTTCTTCCTGACGTGCCAAGTCTCTGACTCGAAATTAGTATTGAAAATCCGAGTCATTGACTGTTTGCCTGAGAAATGTAAGCAGGTGTAGATTCCCTTAATGGATAAGTTTTTGATGTAACAAAGTGAGAAACTATACTCAGTTGGATGATGCTCTCAGTATAATTTATTGCTCATAATCATATCAAGGTATTCACATAACTTCCTAACCTGTTTTAAACAGTCCCTCTCTCCTGCTGTTGTTTTCTAGTAAAGTTCCCCATTTATTCAGAAATATAGCGTTATTCCTATTACACACATATTGGGTGTTGATTTGAAGAACAAGGATTCAGTGACTGAACTAATAATTACTTTTGAATAATTTTCCCTCCCTTATCCTACTGTATGACATAATTGTATATAAGTGAATGCATAACAATGACTAGATATTTTTTCTAGGATACTTATTATGACTGATCAAGAAATTTAATGCATGTATTTGACCTCGTAAACATTACACGGAATTTGATAAATTGCCAGAGTGAGATCCTCACGATGCCTCGTGGCTAGAAGAGGATTTGTGATATGACTCAAAATTGTTTACGACTGCACAGCTGTATTCCGTGTTTTGTCATATTTCAGATTTTAATTATATTCACTTATCTTCATCATCATCATTATACCCTTTCCTGCATATCTCTACACATTTGTTTTCTCTACTTATATATGTGCTTTTTTGAAGTTTGACAAGCTAGACTTGTATGCAATTCTGTGCTAACTTCTATGTTGTTAAGGTCAGTCAGTCGCTCATTTCTTTGTCACCTATTATTGAGTAAATACATTAGAATGACATTCTGTGTAAACAGATACAATATGAGTAGGACCACATCTACTAGACCAGTTCGAATATTTTGATTAGTTGGGAACAAAGCTCATACACGCATGACTATTCATTGGTCAAAAGTCGAATATTTGAGACACGCACTAAGCAATCGACGTGCTAATTGATTAACCTGTATTTCTAATTTGTGTATAAAATGTAAGAAAACTGTTGACCATGTCGCGGTTACCGAGTATTCACTCTACATACACGTATGTTTTACAAAACAAGAAGAAGAGTTTTTCTCATTTCAATGTTAAACTTTACACTGAAAAGAAAGTTTTGTAGGTAAATCAAAATTTAATAAATTATCTGTGAGTTTCTTTGATTCAATTTTGTCTAATATTCATTGTATTGTTTTGTTAGAAACAGTAAACAGTTGTACTATCTTTATACCTTCTTACATAATCTTTCCTGAAGATGAATCGTTAAATACATAATATCCACTTAAGTAGAGCTATCCGTCTAACTGCTTAGAGTGACATACAAAGATTGAAAATTCAGCTTTCCAACCGATAGTTTTCGAGTAAATCCCTAGAAGAAGACAGATTTGACTTTCTAAAGAGGGATCAAACCCTTTGAAGCGGCAGACATGCATTGCTAACAAGTGCTCTTGATACTTTGATGCAGGATTTCCTGACTATTACCTTCAATAACTTAACTCGATGGGAAAATACTTAATACTCGATATGTATTGTAAAATAATGAGACGAAGAATGAAGTGAGTAGCCTTTTGAAACGCTTTTTAGTTTTAAAAGAATATATGAGGACAGATGAGTTGAACAGCAAATATATCACAATAGATGAATGAATGACCTTACCGCTACGTATACAAAAAAGGTCTCCTCAGTACAATCACACAACAATCTAAGCCTTGTATTACTTTTGTTTGGAAGTAAAAGAAGGGGTGAAAATGAAATATTTAAAATTAAAAATAATACAACAACAGTAAACATTTATGATGCTTTAATACTTTCGAGTTCCAAGTACAAAACATTAACAGTCGTGTATAACGACGCATGGGACTATCGACAAAAGCGAAGTCTTCAAATCTATTAGAAAAAACAATAAGAATAACTTACTTTAATTCTAAATCTTCTTCACCATATTCATCTAAATACACTGAACCCCAATCACAGATATTAGGTCCAAGCGAGACATAGACAATGGATGTGTTTACTTCAAGTACTACACCAGAGAAACCACCACATACAACAGTGTGCTAAAAAAGAGGAATATACAAAACAAATATAGTACAGGGAATTTAATAATTCTTTTTCCATACTTCAAAACCACTCATCTCGCTTAAACATTCAAAATACTAAACAAAAAAACCATTAAAAATTGCAAGTATCCTACAGATCAAGTAACTATCTTCCAGATATTCTTAAAATAAAAAGCTTTTGTTGTTATTAGATGGTTGGAGGCAATCGGAAGGAAGTCTTGGACTTAGGTTTCGTGTCTGTTGGCACTCGTCAGCAAGGTGCATCTGCTTTTAGCTGTTCCGCAATGATTCGTGAGAACACAAAACAAAAATGACCAAAATAATACACGGTAAAACAAGTTATTTTAAAAAATCGATACCAGTCGATTCTCGGACATATAAGGCTCGTGGTTTTAATTACACAACAATACAGCTATAGTCTTTTAAGATTCTCTAACCACCATCTATTCATTCAGATTAAATCCGGTCTGTAAACACGAATAAACCAAAATGCTGGTTGGAAAATCCCTGGAAAAAAGCACTAGTTGTCCCCTCCTCGATATTATGTCTGAAACACTCCAGAAACACACACACACACATGCGGAAATAAAAATTCCCTTCTATTTATATTAGGTATTGATTAGTTAGAGAATAAAATTAGTCGATGGTTGTTTGTAGCTTCTCTGTTCTCCTTATCAAACTCTTTATTCACTACAATGCCCACCTATCTATCTATAGTAATTGTGATTGCCTATTTCTATGTAGTAATAATTGAAGAAATGTGGATGAATGTAGATCACCTGCAAATCCATCAGTTATCGGTTATCATTGGTATTTCGATGTACTATTGCAGCTTATTTATTATAATACAATTTTCATGACAAATAACCGGCATATTATTGAGGGAATCAGTTATTATTACAGTATTCTTTTATGCATATATATTTATATCTTTTGAAGCTAAGACTATATGCATGAGCCGTAATCTTATGTATAATCATCTTCTATTTTTGTTTATTTGTCTTTTTTCTCCATCGATCAAAACAACAGCCTAGGCGATGGGATTCAAAAGTTTCACGACCAAGAAATGAAACCTAAGGGCGATGTGCAAAAATGAGAACTAAGCGTACACATGTACAGAAAGAGAGAGAGAGAGAAGGAGAAATCCAATGCAAAGACAAGATAGATACCTTGAAAGTGTATACTCTTAACACTCTATTTTGCGCCTATTTCATTTCATGCTGATTATCACAATCTATTGTATAATGTTCAAAACTGATAGCAAAAAAGTTGTGTTCATTTCCTCAGAGAGTAAGATAAGAGCAAAGCCATTATTTGTACACATTATTTAACTGTTTTCTCAAGAGAAAACGGATAACCTTTATTTTTTTCTTTTCAAAATACCACTAACCAATTTATTAGTACATGTATCTATTTTTCATGAATAAAATATTTGTGTAAAGTGAATAAACGTATACACATTCGATTCATATTTGGATTTATGAAATAGATTCGGGTGAATAAAATAATCAATAAATGTAGTCAAACAACAAGGTTTTAGGACTACAGTCCCAAATTATCATCTTCCACTTTTATTGGATACAATATCTAAAATCAATGTAAATGAGTAGTTTTAATTATGAGTGATTTGCAGCTTAGGTGGATGATTTTGATGTGGTTGCATTCTCTCAGCTGAGTGCTTTACAATTACGAAGCTATTATTGTCTTTTGTTTCAGGATTTCATCATGAACCGATATCGGATAGAGAACCTGGCAGTACTAGAGAGCTGTTTCATCCTAGTTTGGGACTCTTCATCAATACACACGCAGTGGAGTTCGCGAACCCAGGGCTTTGCGGTTTCAAGGCGAGCTTGTAGACCATTAAGGCACCATGAATGATATAATTGTCGATAAAAACAGTCAATGCTGATACAAATTAACGACCGATAACTAATAAAAATTGTTAAAAGATACAATCATATCATTCTTAAAGAATTCAAATAAGTTCACTGCATATTGAAGATGCTATCTTGAAGGTGAATGAAAACCTTGCAGTTAAACGACCTGACTCAGAGAACGCAGCCATATTAAAAAATAGATACATAGATCTTAATCAATATACATCCTCACGTTCACTTTTTTTTTTATCTATCTATCTAATTTAAAAATTAGACCTCAAGTTTAACACAGCTTACATGTTGGTGTAACGTCTAAATATTGGACCATCTCAATGATACTATAGCAACCATAACTATTAACTACTTGAAAGGCGTACAAATGAAAGATAATATGACAACTAAAGGGCATCGAAATTAATTTAAGACGTATAGTGTGAGTTTATGTATGTGGTTACACACAACCCTGAAGTTCTAGAATCCTTTATCAAAAAAAGTGGCAGTGGTAACGATACAAGTGACAAATGTAAGGAATAAAAGAATAATAGTAATACTTTTCACACAGAATGCAGACTCTAGGAATCTATGGTTAACATGGTCACGAACACCTAGCAATAACTCCACCTAGTAAAATATAATTGCTATGGTAGTGAAATAAGTTCAAATTGAAGCTAAATAGTGTGTATAGGCAATGTAGTAATGAGCGTTTGACTTAATATAAGTAAATGGTAGCGTTTGTTGCTAGGTTGAAAAGTCACATTATAATAAGTTGAATGGCTACAAACTGGGAGGGGTGGACACACCTTGAATAATTGTAGCATAAGAAAACTATCTGTAAAAAACAAAAAGCATACTACTGAAAATCGTTATTATTACATCATCAATATCACAGACAGTGGAGAATGTGTTGTTTTCTCTTTATCACTTACTTCAACAACAGCAGTAGCTAAATTACTGCATAGACTGCATAATAAACGTCCACAAATCAAACATAGAATATTCTCTTGAAAACGATGTTGACTTGATGTACAATTGACTAAGTGTAATGCATTGAAAAGTGTATCAAACGATGCTGGTGTACGAATAAGACGTGGAGAATACAATTGACGACCAACTTCAACCAATGACTATGGTGATTATATATTGAAAAATAATGAATTGATAAATATACTTTATGAATTTAACAGAAAAAGAATAATCTACATTAATTCTATAAAAAAATTTATCTATGGTCGTAGAAATGGGTAGTCTCTAGCGACTGACAACTTATTTAACAATAGTAGAGAACAAATATGTATGGGGAAAATTTTGATTCATCTGTGCTCTCTGAGATGGCTGATTGAATTGCAAAGCTTTCGTTGTCCTTCTAGACAACATATCTTCAGAGCAGGTGTTGTTAACTAGAAGGACAATAAAGGCTTACTAATTCAATCAATCGGCTCAAAGAATACAAATAAATCAAAATGAGTTAGTTATATAATGATAGCTGAGTGAAACTGTCGATGTCAACAGATGAGTTTGGTAACTCAGTTAAGTAAAGCGTCTATGCTTTTAAAAAATTCTAATAGTCTGATTATTGCAGTTTTTCATGACATACTGAATTGAATTTATTCGATAAATACATACAACTAAAATGCAATCATAATTTCAACATACCATTTGTATCGGGTTTATAAGACTATGTTCCGATTTACTAACTTAACAGTACTATCTCAGTCATGGACTATACAGAGATTTTATTGCCAAAAACAGTTGTCTGATTTTTAGATATTTAAAACTTTAAATGACTGCTTATCACCCTAACCAAAAACTGACTATATATGTTCCACAATTAACTAAACTGATTTGGCGGGGGTGGGGGGCATTGTGATGAGCTGTAAAAGTGAGAAGTGCAATTATAAGGAATTATTTTGAGGTAGAAAAGAAGGGCGACTTACGCCTCACTCTCCAAGAACTGGCGAGGAATCATGCTGCTGTCGACGCCAAGTAAAATCCTGAGTCGCATCATCCCAGAGAGAATCAAGGACGCACTGGATACAGAACTCCAACCAGAACAAGCTGGATTCAGGAAAGTCAGGCAAATCATGTACTGACCAAATTGCAACTCTACACATCATCATCACAGAACACAGCATGGAATGGCAATCAAACCTCTACCTCAACTTTATAGACTTCGAGAAGGCCTTCACTAGACAGCGTTGACCGCGAAGTAATTTGGAAATTACTCGAGTACTACGGCGTACCTCAAATATTCATCAACCTTATTCAACAGCTGTACGACAACGGAACATGTCAAGCGATCCACAACGGAAAACTCAGTGAGGCGTTTGGAGTAAATACAGGAGTCAGACAAGGGTGCTTGTTATCATCAATGAAAGATATTCCTAATTGTGGTGGACTGGATTATGCGTCGTCAGACAGTGGGAAACGAGGAGACAAGGAGGGATATCCTGGACCGACGTGAAGAACCTAGAAGACCTGGATTTCGCGCGTGGATGATTTATGTTTGATATCACACACAATCGAAGACTTACAAGCGAAAACCGAAGAAGCAGCCGGCGAAGACACGACTCCAGGTGAACATAGATAAGACGGAGGTGATGAAAACAACCAACCAACAACAACAGCAACATCCAACGTCAATCACCATCAACGGGAGGGATTTGAAAGAGGTTACTTCATTCACTTATCTAGGGAGCATTGTCACAACTACAGGAAGTCGGAACGGACGAGGATGTCAAATCGAGAATTGGGAACATATTGGCGAGAGACACATTCATCAAACTGAAATCAATCTGGAAATCTTCGTCACTCGCCATCAACAAGAAACTTCGGATTTTCAATACAAACGTCAAGTCAGTCAGTTCTCCTATACGGAACGGATCAGAAACTTAGTGGGTGAGTCACAAAGAATGATTCCTTCCGGCCCGGCCAACTGATCTTCAGTATAGAGCGAAGACAGTTGTTGATAAAAGTCTGCAACCTATGGGAACAAACAAAGCAAGAACCAATCGCCCAACAAAATATGCAGAAGAAAGTGGAGATGGATCGGACACTCGCTGAGGAGACCACCGGGTGATATCGCGCATCAAGCCCTCAAGTGGAACCCGAAAGGGAAGCGGCGTGTGGGACGTCCAAGGGTGACATGGAGGAGATCGTGTGAAGAGGAGTTGAAAGAATATGGACTTACATGGATGCAGGCGAAAAGTACAGCAGAAGACAGAAGAAAATGGAGACGTGCAGTTGAAGCCCTATGTTCCACTAGGAATCCAAGGGAGCAATAAAAATAATAATTTTGAGGTAGATTAAAAAAATTATTATTTATGAATTGGATAATGTATGACGTCGCGTACTAGACGTCTATAGGCAACATTAACACCAGTGGTATTACTTTTTTATTCCTTCAACTTCCCATTCGAACATAAGGCTTCAAGTTAGGGCTTTGAAGTTTTGATAGCAGTGGTATTTACTTTTATGGGATGGGGTTTTCAGACTCATATCCAACCTTTCCTCTTTACCAGCATTATTTCTGGCTTAGCAAGGTAAAGGAGTGCGGCGGGTGGGGACTGAATCCCGAACCACATGCGTGGTTGGTGAGTATTCTACCGCTGTGGCACTGGTGCCATGGTATTACTTAGTAGGATATTATTTCCCACAAAATATACCATATAGTTTATAACGATTTGATGCAATCTATCAACTGGTAATTTTACTTTCCTATAAATTTTATGATACTCCAGGACATGAACGTCAGAAGAGAAACTATCTCAGGAAGATGTATTTTATTTTTCAGCCCCGACTGCAACTCTGTAGGATTGAGCTCAAATAGGCTTGTTACTACTTATAGCCTGATAATTAATTACCAACCAACTTAATGCGTACTTTAATTGTTTAAAAAATAATAGCAATGATTTTAACGAAATAATACTTCCAAAACATACCAGTAGATAATCGACTATATGTGTTTTAAAATGTGATTTAAGTCTATCGAGAAGTGGAATATCCATGTAATAATTGACAGTAGATATATTATTAATTCGCTTTCCATTGCGTGAAGGTATGTCAAGAGCAGATGGTATTGATGATGGTGATGATAATGGTGATTGAGATGATGATGACGTTAATGGTTTTGTTGAATTAGATGAAGAGATTTCAGATGCTTTTTTTATTTGACCTATCCATCGAGTAATAAGATACTGTATAGCATTTCCTTTGTCGCTTGCACATAATCCACATAAAGTACCAGCTAATTCGGCCACCTGTCCAACATTTATTACCACACTATCTCCACAATCCAGAGACAGGATACGACAGAGGTCACTGAATTCAACCAATCGTTGCTGTTGTTTAGTTAATAACAAAAAAAAAGAAGACAGATGCGGAAATAAAATGGATATATATATATATATATATATATATATATATATATAATTTAAAAGAGTAGAACATAAATATTTAAATAACCATGTGTTTCTTGAGTACGTAAGGAACACTATGAATGTCTGATTTCTATACTAAAGAATGCGTTAGACTCAGATGATCAAGGAGTTTCGACATATCATTTGACTCTGAAATGGGGGTCAACCAAAATATTCCAAAACAACTGATTGAGTCATGTAAGAGCTAACAAAGAATTGTCATTTCAAAAGACGATAACCACCAAAGTGTGATAGGCAAGCCCTAAAACACCTTAGACCAATTCAAAGTGAAAAGAGATACCCTAACTTGAAAAGTTGGCTGATAGGGTTCATTTTTCACCAACACCAAAAACACATAACATTGGCTTCTCCCTAGTGACCAATTAATAGAACTATAACTCTCCAACGCATGAGATGGCATGTCTTTCTCAAAATGCTATTTTGATAGAAGAATCAGGCACGAATAATCAGGTTAATATAAAATACCCATCGGTTAAGTAAGGCTGTTGTTGACCTGAAGCCGACAGAGAAGTGATTACTTGTCTATGGTCCTGTGACTACGGAAACCTATGGTTAGAGAATGTAGACCTGACGACTTAGAATTGAGTATAGTGGAGAGGGAAAACTTATAAACGTTATCGATTGTAACATTTTCCTATTCTTCATACTTTCTTTTTTTTAACCTTATATTATAGCAGACTAGACCTATAAAATTATGACCGACTGGTTCCAACATATAACCTCGTACAGATGTGCACCAGTTCGAGTCGCCACACTCCCTCTATGTAACACACAAAGCAAGAGGAGAGAGTACAGAGAAATTAGAAAGAGAGATAATAAACAGAAATATGAGGTAAATAAATAGTAATATGGGAGAACCATTGTATTTTATTGGATATGACAGATCACAACGAGTGAATGAATCTGCACCAGCCATTGAGAATGATTTTGAGCCATATTACCGATTGTCTCCAGCAACTGGTTTTCACCATCTTGAGTATCCCAACCAGCTAGCGAGTCTACACTTTCCAACATGGCTGGCCGGATTAAACTAACTGTTGTGGATTTCATCGATTGATGAAGTCATCTTTTGGTTTGGCCGCTATTAGATCTTTTCGAACCTGACCCTAAATCAGTCAGTTGACATTGCCCTTGGAGGAAGGTGATGGCTAGGCATATGTAACACATGTTCTAAACAACTCAAACGATGTAACTTCACAACCTCGTCGATTGATTTCCCCTCTTCACCTACCACTCAACTGATGCCTAACTACAACATAATAGGGTGATCAATATTGCTCCTTCTTTCAAACTTCGTATTATAGCAAACTGCAAACTGTAAAATTATATCTATTCTTTCGTCTTCCTTTTATATCTACTAGTAGTAGGGGAGCAGATGTGGGACAATCTCATGAAGCATTACACATTGATGTTTAAGAACTTTCTATTTCAAACGGTTAGTTGGTTTGAATAATGTAGATTCATTATTCAGACTTTTTTCGTTATACCATGAGTGAGGCAGATCACAAAACATCAGTGCGTCGGCAGCACAGTGGTTAGGACGCTCGCCGACTATACAAATGGTCCGGGGTTCGATCTGCGGCCGACCCACACCTGATATCGGCCTGCTAAATTTGGGCCACCGATATCACATGCTGAAAATTCCATACTTGTACCAAAATACTGTATGGAGTCAAGCTATAATAGAATAAAAAAGAGTAAAAGCGCTTGTCTACCACAGATACACGCACACACTTATTTTGTTCATCTATTATTAAACTACATGTCAATGGAATTTCACATCAAGAAAGAAATAACTCTGCTCTATACATCGAAACCATGAGCTTTTCCAAGTACATGTTCTTAATCTAATAATCGATAACTTACTTCATTTGTAATGCACGCCATTTCTACTGACACACCGTCAACACTTTTATTCGATAATTTCGCTAACTGTCCAACAAATGGTAATCCTAATGGTTTCAGAGTACCAACATGATCTGGATGCCAACGTGCCCAACAAAGGCTGGCAATACGTAGAAATGGTAGTAGGCGTAGAATTATATGCAATTCGATTTGATTTTCATCATATTCTATAGGAAGACTTTTAGATGATAGAGTTATTGATTCACATGGTGATGTTGATGACGTTGAAGGTATTTGATTGAGAAAATTTTCATCTGGTAATTTTGATGTTGAATGTAAAAAATCTAGAACACGTTTTAATCTTTCTGATGATTGACAAGTATCCACTGGTACGCAAGACGATTGGATGTTTAATTCACTTAGACATGTAAGTAGAATATCCAAATGTTTTGATAAAACACCGGAAATCTAAAATTTGTTAATTTAGTGGAATTAGTAGTTATTCATAAAACTGGCAAACAAAATCTTTTTTATTTTAATAAGATGAATAAAAGTTGAAATTATACCTGGAATCATATCCAAATTGAAAGAGCACTACTAATAAATTAGAACTTGCAAGAGAAGAGCACTGAGAGATGTTAAAGAAGTAGTGGTGTTAGTGCGTCAATGGTTCAGCGGTAGAACGCTCGCCAACCACACATGTGGCCCGGAGTGCGATCCTCGGCCGATGTACTCCTAGACCTTGCTGAGCCTGTAGTAATGCCGGTAAAGAGGGAAGGTTAGCTGTGAGACTAGCAACCCCATCCCGTAAAAATAAACACCACTGCTATCGGAACTTCAATTCTCTAGCTTGAAGTCCCATGTTCCACTTGGAACATATAGGAATAAAAATAAGTCGTGTTAGATTCTAACTTCACACTTATACACAACTGGTAAACACACATTGCTTCAGTGAATACAGTTCACCCAGTCAATATCTACTTAATTAGTTGTGTGTGTTGTAATTTCGTATTCATCTACTGTAAAAAAAAGTAAAAATGTTTCTTACACATGGAAGATAATTTCCGAAGAAAAATCCCTTTCGACTCATGTTTCACTAATGAAAAATACATCATATTTCTTTGCTAAATGTAAATATACAGACAATAAAAACCTAAATATTCAAATACGAACTACATATTTAAAAGAATAACTATTAATTCAATGTACACTTGACACTCAACAACCCTATTTGATTGGTTTATAAGGGTTAGTTATGTTTTTACGAGTTGATCACGGATTGATATCAGTTAGAGAACCATTGAAAACCAGGGAGTACTGGACAGCTGCTGTTTCATCCTAGTTTTGGAATCATCGGCAGTACGCACCCACTGGGATTCGAACCCAGGACCTTCCGGTTACAAGGCAAGCTCGTATACTCCCTGGTTTTCAATGGTTCTCTAACTGATATCAATCCGTGATCAACCCTATTTGAACATAAAAATAATCATTATTAAGGCTACAAGGATTTTGTAGTGAATTTATCAAAGTCTCCATTTAGATGATGAGGAGACCACTAGCCATCCCCATAGATAAAGCAGATAGAGCTTTCCCTGTTAAAAAAAATACTTATTCAACCTCTCATCGTTTCGATTTCTGTTCCGTCCAAAGCATGCTCAATTACTCCGAAAAGTTTCTCTTCCCTTTTCTTTCAAAACGTTTTTATCGGTAGATGAAAACTTATTTGAAAATGTGAGCAATGGTAGGCTGTGATTCATTGATATAATAAGATGATCGAGGCAATATGTAATACAGTGAACATGATGTACTTTGATGCATGAAAAGAATTTGGGTAGACCAGTGATTTATGCAAGCCACCACGTCATGAATACGTTTACTTTATCCTTTATTCTACTTATTTATAAGTGATATAATAACGTGAGAACACAAGAGCACTCGATATACATAGCCAAAGTCCTTCTACTCAATACTGAAATCACAATTTGCTAATGTCCTTTATATTGTGCGTCTTTTTCATGCTTTCTATGTTGTTTCACAAGAATCTTCAATTTCTTCTCTTCGCCTTTAAATCCATCCTTCTGCTATTCAATACTTTTCCAGCTGATATATATATATATATATATATATATATATATATATATACTACTTACAAATCCTGTGAATGGCACATACCACAATATCATATCCCTCCAATTTCAATGCTCAGCTTGAAAACAATTCATCTAACAAATATTTTGTTGTTGCTGTACAACCGCTTCTTTCTAAGCTTTTGTTGCACTATTGCACTTTATCACGATTCACGCCTCTTCGCCAGTGTACACTCAAAGTAAATGAAGTTGTTAAAAAACATTTTACTGAACCAGTCTCCCTCTTTTTTCTTTTATAACACCTTGATAGGAGAAATTCCCATGGAAAAGGTTACTATGTTAAAACGTATACTGTAAGTGACTCACTTTACCCAACAAATGTCGAGTAGCATTGATTTGCTCAGATAAACTGAAACATGTAGATTTAGTTGGTCGATTGAATGCAACACTGATAAGTGCTCGTATATAGGCTAAGCAAAATGTTAGCGCTAGGACTGTGTGGAATATATCTGTCACGAAATAAAAGTTTTGAAAGAAAAAACAGAAGAGAAATGACAAGAAGAAAATATAGTACAACAATATATGTGTATTGTAAAACAAGCATTACAAATGAGTTATTTTATAGCGTCTTATTCGAATTTCTGGATATCAGTTCAACCAGGTTTCAGGATACACTGAATGAGAAAGCTCGACCTAGGTCCCATATTTATTTGCAAACATCATGGTAGTATTTCAAGAATTTAATACCTAACTCACTACTTGAAATAAATAACAGACCCAGTGTTCATATTAGATGTTTGAAGGCAATCGGCAGGAATCCTTGGACTTAGGTTTCGTGCTTGTTGGCACTCGTCAGTAAGGTGTATCTGCAAACTTCAGGGAATTCATGTCCCTTCCGAGATTCGAACCCGCATCATCCAGTGCTGCAGTCAAAGATGTTATCACTGAGCTATTCGGGCTCATCATCTAATATCATCAAATCAAAACCTAGGATGGTGGCCACATAGTAAACCTGACTGATAGAATTCAGTCTCCACCGAAGTAAAGACTAAACACATCGCACTAGTTACTAGTGTCCAATCAAAGACTCAGTGTTCAATTTCTCAAATTTGGCTCTCCGAGCTGGGTCGCACCTGGTGAACTGTTGTTGAGCTTGAGCCCAAGTGAGTGAAACGGTAGTCTAGTGCTTACATCACTTCGATCAAACTGTCATGTACTACTGGTTGATATGAGTGGCATCCAACTTCTCATGTCAGTTCATCACTAGTACAATAATAGTGCGTTTAAACTCAGTGTTTTTAAACAGCTTTAATCAAAAATCGTTCCCAACTGGAGAACTGAAGAGCACTAGTATATAACTCTTCAGCTATTCACATACATGATCTCTTCACAGACAGAATGAGGAACCATCGACGAGCACATTACCAGCATGGGTGGAAGTCGAAATAAATTCCTATATGCTTACAACAATGATCAATTCGACAAAAACAATAATTATCTCATACAATTAATCTACTAACAAGCGAATCTGCCCATGAGTAATTGGTTTTGAGACAGTTTTCCTAAAGTTTAAAAGAGAGGTCGTAACCAGTAGGGTCTATCAACGTTCAGGATTCGAGGACAGATGATATTGAATGGCCATGACTATATAAAGTGGACGGACAAAAATTGAAATTGATAGACTGGATTTTACTGGTTAGCTGACAGATTTTTACTCGTAAACAAGTCTACAGTGAAATTAATTATTTATATCTCAACAGGCCCAAAATCTGAAAAATAATTTGAATTAGTGAGAAAAATTATTTTCGGACAACTAATTGAATGAAGATAACGCCAGACATCTTACTCGAAAATACCCACGCAGTGGTCAAGGAAGAGTAGAAACCTTTCAGTAATTATCACAACACATTATAGCACTGGTCTAAGAATGCATACGCCATAGGTTCAGATCAATTATTTCGACCTTGATTAGAATTTTTTTGTTTATGACTGCTGATCGATACACGTGATATGCAAAGCCAATGTCAGCCACACAATATACACATGCATGAAGCATATGCATCTGCTATGTTCACCAATATTTATCTGAGTAACCATCCGCTGTTCTTGAAGGTGTAAACCATGGGAACAATTGACACTTCCCCATAAAGCTTAGTCATCGTGGAAGGCGATCAAAAAAAAAATCATTGATGCAACTGAAAGACAAAACACTTTGTTTCAAATCCGGTCATTATTCTTGATAAGCTTTTTATCCTTTACACAAATAGTTAAGTGATGCGACATTTAGTGGCTAAAGTATTTCTGAGGTGTAATTAAAAAGCTTATGTTGCAGGACTAAGCTTTCTCAGGATTGTTGATTTACATCAGCTTGTGGCAAATCATATCTTTACTGCACAGAATTTTCAGCAGTTTATATACCTGGTGAAGTCCAACTTCAAATAAAGTAATAATTACAATAAAGGTAATCAACCTACCTTCACGTGGCCAAATATGAGGTAATAATCCAAGTAGAATATCCACTGGATCTTGTATTAAAGCAAACATTGGGATCCTTAAAAAATAATAATAACGAAAAAAGATCACACTTGATGTGACATTATATTTTCCAAAAAAGAATGAAAGGTTCTAACTGCACATAAAGGTCAAAATCAGATAGAAGTCGAGTACAATAAAGTACTTTTAACTTGATGGTCTTTGGGATCTTGGATTAGTGGGATACAGATTACATTAGTTTCATTGTTTAGTGATGAATTTACCGATAACCATAAGTTATATAATGCAGTCACAGATTTCTATGCTTCGATAACAATAGACATCAAAAAAGAACCATCAGTATAGCAAGATGTTATACGTTGATAATTGATGGAGTAGTGGATATCTACCCACATCTATCAGTTTTGACTGTCAGAGTGAATCAGGTGATCCAAACAATGAACAGTTGTTTGAGACTAAGCATATATGCGGCATTACAAGATAGACTCGGCTCAGAAAACTCAGTCAATTCAAACGACTCGAATTTCCACTGACTACTTGGGCAAATTTATGACACAGAGAATACACTGTTTCACCCGTAAATCACACAGTAAAAGGTAAAAATTTATCACCATTTCAAACAAAGCTACCAGAGTAGTTTAAAAAGTTGCACTGAGTACCTGAGTTATGAAAGATAATCAACAACAATCTTATGCAACCCACTAGATGAGTCGCAATTTCCACGTCAGAAGTAACATTTAAGGGTTGAGAGTTTACAATACTTTTCGGTCGCTAATAATGAACTGGGAACTTGGACACAGAACTTCTTATCTTAAAGTCAGCTGTTGAGGTCAACGTATGCAATGAAAGGAATGGAGCAACTGTGACCACCAATAAGTGATAACAGAAATTACTCAGCATTCTACACAGATTAATGAGGACAATAGCTGAAACAGAAAAGTCAAGAGTGGATATTTCACATCAATACGAAAGAGGAATTGCAGGAAGAATCATGATAGTAGCACTGGCAGATTTTCGAGTTCGACTGTCGTTAACTAAGCATATCAAGGTTATTTAAAATGTTAATGTCCAACGTATGATTTCCACTTCTAGATGAAAGGTCACTTCGAAGCTGTATTTACGCGAAACATGTTGTTGCACATGATTTTGTCTTTGAAATGAGTTAAAATTTGAATGTATTTACAGCGAAACAGGAGTTTTCACAACCTACGAAATACAGTAAATCACTATGATAAAAAACTCTACATTGATAAACAAAAATGTTTATAATTATGATTGCAAATTCAAAATATCTTCCAGGAGGGTAATAACAAAACATATGGCGCTTACATGACATTGTCCGGCTTTGTGACATCATCAGCCATAAGACACAGTATTAAACTCTGAATATCAGATGGCAATTTATAAATCAGACGAAGATATGAGATAAATTCACCTGAGAGAAAAAATACATGACATTGAAAGAAAGATGATTTCTACACAGCTTAAACAATTTATCATGAGCATAACATTTTAAGCAACACATTCACTGGGTAATTCATTGAATAAGACACATTCTTTTGTTGTAAATTAAAGCAAAATATGAGATAGCTTGGTGTCTGATTGCATTATTCAATTAAGTGTAACAACAGAAGAACATACTTTGTTTTTTAGAATTGTCTATTTTTCAGTTATCAATTCATCAACTTCAATAATCACAAATCCTAATAAAGATTAAAAAATAGCCCAATTTATGAGGCATGAATTCATTTCTTTTTTGTAAATCCCACGATTAAGTTCTAAAACTCATTAAGCAAAACTGACCTAATGATCTACCGAATTCATTTTATTATGGTTACTGATTTCAAATTTTAGGGAACTTTAAGGTAAATTCCGACGATAAATATCAACATAATTTCATGACTATTAATGTAGTGAGGACACGAGTGGGGCAAGGCTGTCTTCTATCGCCAATGATCTTCCTGATTACAGTAGATTGGATAATGAGACAGACAACGAGCAATGAGGAAACAGACATAAAATGGACCCACACAAAAAAACTTGGAGGATCTGGACTTCTCCGATGATATATGACTGATTTCCCATAAACTGGAAGATATGCAAGTGATGAAAAGCAACAAGCTGGAAGAAGAAGTATCCTTAGAAGATGGGCCCTCAGGTGAAGATAGATAAAACAGAGGTGATGAAGATTCCTAACCAACACCAACAACAACAATCAGCCAGCATAAATGGGAGGAACCTGAGAGAAACAACCTCCTTCACCTACCTGGAAAGCATCGTTTCAACTACAGGCGGAACTGACGAACACATCAAAGCCAGAATCGGAAAAGCAAGACAAGCTTTCATTACTCTCAAGTCTGTGTGGAAGTCAACAGCACTCAGCATCGAAAATGAGATCCGGATTTTCAACTCCAACGTGAAGTCAGTGCTACTATATGGATCAGAGACTTGCACTGCGCGTCATAAAGAGCATCTCAAACAAACTTCAAACCTTCATTAACAGTTGTCTTCGCTCAATACTCAAGATCAGATGGCCAGAAAAGATCAGCAACAGGGATCTCTGGCAATGAGCGAACCAACACAGCAGGAAACGATTGTGAAACAAATAAGTAGGAAGAAATGGAGGTGGATTGGCCATACGCTGAGGAAACCATCAAGTGACATCACTAGAGAAGCCGTCGCTCGAGTGGAACCCGAAAGGGAAGCGGCGAGTTGGTCGTCAGTGCAAGGGTGACTTGGAGGAGGTCATGTGAAGAGGAATTGAAAGAATGTGGGCAGACTTGGAGCGGGGTGAAAAAGTTGGCAGAAAACAGAAGGCAATGGAGACGCGCAGCTGAAGCCCTATGTTTCTCTAGGAATTAAAGGATATAATAATAATAATAATTACTGTAGCTTATGCTTGCAACCAATAAGCAAAAGACAGAAGTGAAGACGTTAAAAACTTAAGTAAGCGGAATTAACAAGTCATGAAAAATCTCCATGACTAGTCATATAATATCGGCAGTGGACAAAACTGAGAAATTGTGTCTGTTTACAGTAACTAGCATATGCACGTTCATGTGATTAGGAGGCACACACTTATGAAACAAGGCTGCAGTAACAGGGGTTACTAAAGATTAAACAAACATGATCAGCTATTCCAAACATCGGCGAAAAGAGACTCTTCTCTGATCTATGTGTTTTGTTTTCATTAATGCCTGGATGGGGATTATCCATGAAAAATCAGATGAACGGCTGATCAGACAAACATAAAAGTTATACAAAATCTCTTTCACAATATTCGTAAGTTAGAGTAGCATAAAATAACGAAAACCTAAGTCACTTATAGTGATTTATATGAAAATATAAAGCGCACCTGCTTATTTTCTTCAAGCCTCAGTTACCTTTCTGTTTCAATAGAAAAAAAAAACTATGTACCAACACTAATTTTATCGAAAAGGTAGTGCACCTATTTCTCGATCTTTTACAGAATATCTTTAGGATCTAAACCAATTCTGAAAATGATTCAATCAAGGAATGACTGACTACTTTTCAACATAGAACTTTGCAAAAAAATGCAGCATTTCAATTTGCCACATTCCATGAAGCGCCCCAAGTAGATAAGAAAGAGAGAGAGAGGGAAAAGAACTATAAAAGGAAGAAATGTGAAGGAGAAAGAATAATTGCATGGAAAAAGTCGACGTTTTAGCGGATATGGGAGGTCACAAAGTGAGCATGAATCTTCATCACTGAGAAAAATTTTGAACCATATCACCAACAGTGTTTAGCTATTATTGATTCTCAGCATCCCGAGAACCCAGACCAGACAGCCTACACATCTCTTCGTGGCTCAACAGTCAGAGATTTCATGGACCAATCGCACGTTTTGGTTTGACCACCTTGAACTCTTTTGCGACCTAATCTAATGTCATTCAACACTGTCAGTCAAGTAGGGTGATGGCTCGGTATTCGCAACACGTATCCTAGCCATTTCAAACGGTTCACCTTCACAAACTCATCAACTGACTGACCCTTCTTACCTATCACTTCACTCCTAACCTAAGTATTACTCACCATATTACACCAATTAATAGGAGAGACATAACGCAAACATCTGTGGTTACAGACATATAGTCCATTTTCAATAGCCAAGTCTCATTCATAGCCATGAAGAAGATAGGAGCAAACTGCTGTTCAGTACAAATGTTGTTTAATGAATCGTCGGATACCAAGTCTACGCCAAATACGATGTCAGGTTGGCAAATTTCACCAGGAATACTGATTAGGTAACACAAATACGCACATACCATTCATATTTTAACCGGTCAAACTCCCTTACTCATTTATTCAACAATACTTGATTCCGTATTAAGAAAAATAATCATTGACTTACGCCAGTAGCAACGACGTGATACCATTGAATACTGTGACGGGAAACTCATTAACACGCTTAATTCACATTCCAATTGAGATCTGTTAGTATTGTTGGTGTTTATCAAAAAGGAAGAAAAATAAGGAAGGCAGTCGAGGACAAGTATGAAAAGCAAACACTGAAGGAAAAACACGTATGCATATATAAAACCAGGAATGTGAAATTATATTAAACAGACAATGAAAGGAAAAAGTCTTATTACGTTATAAACTAAACCGTCTTATGATGTTGTTAGATGAATGAAGACTAAGTTGAATCCAGGATGAGCCGTAAGCTGGAGGTGGGGGTTATAGTGGTCCCGTGGAAACTAGAACCCAGCACCCATCAATTCAAATACGGAAGCGCTATCCACTAAGCTACTTAGAGCCCCAGTGGTTTAATGGTATACGAACTCGCTCCGTAACCGGAAGGTCCTGAGTTCGAGCCCCGGTAGGTGGATATAGATGAAGAGTCACAGTCTCAGATTTCCTAATGGTCCTCTAACCGATGTCAGCTCGTGCTGAAATCCCGAAATAATTACTTTGCAATAGACCATGCTAAGAATTCTGTAAGATGCATTAAGCCGTCTTGTTTTTGACATCACACACAAATTGATGTTTATGCCGTTGTTATGTGCTACGAGTAGTGTTCTTTTTAGCTAATCACTACAAACTAGACAATTTTTTTGGCTACCATAAAACATTTACTGAAACTTAGATGGAATGTGTCTGGAATGTAATATTCGAAAAGATCAAACGATTCCTACCACTTCCGAAAAAATGGAGAAGATATTTCTCTGGACAACCTACAAATAAATATGAACTATGATTTTTGCACTGATCGTATCATGTGGAAAAAACGCCGTAGTTTCAGTAGGATAGTCCCAGTTTCGCGAAATGCCTTAACAATCTGTGACTTCTTAAAATGAAATTGTATACAGAATGAGTGACTACGGACAGTCAGTTTTGAAAACAATATTTGCCAGGGCATTGTTGAAAGTTTGATGGAATGCTTTTTTCTGAACACACCATGTTTTACCCATAATAATTTCAGTTTACCTTCTCTTGACTTCTTGTTTTGCTTAGTAGGTGTAATACGTTGAACTAGTGCACTTCTGTATAGGCTTCTATTACACAGGAGAGAATGACTTGTAGTTTCACGTACATGATTCTGTCCAACAAAATGAAGTATTTTCTGAGATTTAGGATAGTAAAACTTGATAGTGTTTTGTATGCGATAAGCACCTTTCAAGCATAAAATGATGATGACTAACTAACTAACTCCTACTGCTAGTTTAAACTCTGAGAAAGAAGTGAATGAATAATACTGATCAATGTGTAACAAATATTATTTATTATAAAAGTTCTAACACTCTTCAGTAAACGGTGTTGAAGAATTGCAACAAACGAGGACAAAACAGCTGTCCAGTCCAGTACTGTCTGATTTTCAATCGTTCTTTAACTGAAATTAGTTCGACATCTATCTTAAAATGGTATTGAATTCAAATTTCCAAAGTGTCCACTTTCGTATGTAACAAAATAGTAATGATAATAATATCAGCTTTATTCCAGAGAGTAACTTTAATATAAATACGGAACTTTCAGTATGTAATACAACAGCGCATCTAATTTTCGCAATACAATATAATATTGTGTAGGTAGTGCCATGCCTTACACTTTACTCATCCACATGAAATGTGTGCTAAATAAGAGATTGTAGTTCTCCGGGTATAAAGTCTTCTATAGTTGCTTCTAGTTTTACCAGATAAGAGAGTAGAGTATAGAGACGATGCTCAGGGTCTGAAAAGATAATATTTGTAAATTTCTTTCAGAAGTTCATATGTTTATCTACAATAGTATTAACGAGTTGGTTTTAGTGCCTTTCGCAGTGTAACAAAGTAGGCTTTCTTAAGTAGCCCAGGAAAGATTAATGGGGAACATTAAAAAAAGAATAGGTAGAATACAAGAGAATTAACTAACTCAGAAAGTAGAAACTGTATGATATCAGATTTTCTTAATCTCCTCACACTTAGAACGTTAAGTGAAAAACTATTTTAGAAACTAACACAAATAGTTATATCTCCATATGTAGATATAGTTAATCTATCAGCTTATGATTGCAAAAGACAAGAGTGTTCTTATAACTCAAGTGGTAATAAAAAGAATAAATATAATAATACATAAATTAAAAGAAACAAAAAAATTTGCACAAGATACCTTAATAACACTGTAGCTTCATAATTAACACCAATTAGCGGGGACAAAAGAACTCGACGTTGAAGGTTTAATTCATCATCGGGACCATTTAAATCATTCCAGATAGTTGAACCGTTATTCGGTAATGTATTCTATGAATTAATAAAAGAAACAATAATAATAATAATAATAATAATCACGATGCTTGCGATATGTAGACGTAAAGAGAAGGAAGGGTAAAAAAAGAAGATATTCTAATGTATATCAAGATTAGACGTAACTGAACACAATCTGAAGTCATAAGCATACGCCTTATTGCCAAGATAGCAATTTTTCCACAAACAAACAGGAAAACGCAAAAAGTCCAGCAAGTAGACGACAGTAGGATTAATTGTGAAAATTGAGGCTGAAGTTGTAGTAATAGAAATGAAAGAAAATAAAACGCATCAATTTGGAAACCGTTATATATCAACACCATCATAGTGATATTATAAATACCTCAGTAATAGTGATATAAATATAAAACTTGGGCACTGTGGTAGAGCATAACTCCATCATGGATAAGATTTTATTTTGACAAATCACACAGTGTTATACAGTTATATTAACTGATGACGTTTCGACCGCAAACTATTGCTTGATATGATTATGAGCAATAGTTTGTGCTCGAAACGTCATGAGTTAATATAACTGTATAACACTGTATGATTTGTCAAAATAAAATCTTATCCATAATGGAGTTATCTCAGTAATACATAAAGTCTGATAATATCTATGAAATGCACTAGACGTTTAGTTCTTTTATATTTCCTCATATCCAAATATAATTTGATTGTGAGAGCAAACAAAACAATTTTCATTTCCTACAGTATGCTGAAATGATATAACGAGAAATGGGGAAATGTTAGTGAATACTTGACATCTACACGCATATATAAGGCCACTACAACACAAAAAGTAAGAATATAAGCGAGAGTCAAGTTAAACAACAATCCAAATTTGAATGATCAATCGACATAAGTATAACCTTTAATTCAGCATAGCTAACGTATGCAACAGTCAGTCACAAAACAAATTAACACGTTAAGGCGAATAAAAGTACGTAATAACTTACTAGTAGGTTTAATAGGGTGGTAATATTATGTTCAGCATATTCTACAGAAGGGAATGGATGCTGTTTACCGTCTCCATTCGACTTTGGCATTGCTACTAGAGGCAGCAGATGATGAATATCTCTTCTACACAAAGGACATGCAACCCAAGACCGGTTGCGTGCTGCAGTTGATCTATTCGCGCCCTTCAATGAAAAGAAAACCAAACGAAAAATAGCAAACGTTTAGTCGATTTTAGTCACATAAAAAAGAGAGAACATCTTATAGACTCATAAATAAGTTTCAGGTTAGACCACCGAACCATTGAAAACCAGCGTGTGGTGCTGGACAGCAAGCTATTTAGTTATAGTTTGGGACTTATCAGCAGTACGCACCCGCCAACAAGGTTCGAACTCAGGACCTTCCGGTTTCAACGCAAGCTCGTATACCATTCAGCCACTGGTACCCGATTCAATGGCCAGTGCATGAATTCTAATTTCTACCAATTTGTGATTTAAGTGCAACCACCAACCAGTCGGAAGTGAGAATGGAGCTCCCACTGATGATATTAGTCATTATTTTGGAGCATAAATACACTACATGGAAAAACGCATAAAATATGCTTTACCTATAGTTCTGTGTCGATTTCCTGTTTTACGAACAAAGTAAACTTCTCAATTGTTTTATTTAATGTTTTTAATGATCACATTGAACATTCAATCCTTATGATGCTGTAATCGACAGCAAGTTTATAACACGTTTAAACTTTAGGGATAGAATCATTGTACAGAATTAAGTCGAGTAGCAATAGAGAACTTCTGAGGCTATGTACACGAGACTTTTAAAAACTGACGATATATGTCAATCACTCTCGAAAAAATGTTAAATTCATACACCACTAAGAAAAAGATAGAGGCATTGCCTAACATCACATGACTTATTTGTTAAAGTGAAGCATGTGACAGAATCACAGATAGACAAATGATAAACAATTTACTTTAAAGATCATATCTTAGACTGTCAAACAACTATTATTATTATTAATACAGAAAAGAAAACACAGTCTATTATCACTTGTTTAAGGTAATCTCTTTATAAACTCTCAATTATATATGACATACATGTGTACAATAGCGTTGAAAACACTCTCGATGAACCACATGACCACAGGTTTGCAACAACAATCCAGAGCGTAATAATGGTAATGTTTCAGATATTAAAGAAGGCACTGCGCAACTCCACCATTGACGAGATTCAACAAAACGTGTTTTCTGTTGTAAACGTTTAGCTTCAGAGAGATTCAGAGGTTTAGGTGACGAAGATGAACGTTTTGCCTGTGATGGTGCAACAGAGGAACTAAAACCAGAATTTGTACTCAATGTATGTATAGGTAGACCAACAATGCCTGCTGGAGCTTGACTACATTCGCTAACAGGAGATGCATTATCAGAAGTGGTGGAATGAAGTAATTGAGTTTCTTGAAGAAATGAACTAACAGGTGGTCGTTTTGGTGATAACCATGATAACTCATCAGTAACCGGAATAAGTGGAGGGAAACCTGAGGATTGGCTAATATCTCTCCCAGATAACGTTGGTAACATTGCTGTTTCTCGAAGCTGGAGCATGACTGCAAAAAATAATTAAAAAAAATACAGGTACATGAAAGACGACTCAGAAAAAAAGAATCATCTACTGTGTTGCTATGACGTTAACTTGCTGAATAATTCAAGTGCTGAATAGTGGGTTACTGTCATTATTACAGACAGACTCTAATATGGAATCATACTCTACCACAGTACCCAAAATCTCCTCCTACAGTGATATGAAATATATTGGTATACAAAATATCATTATTTCAAACTGTCAACATTTGCTACAGTAAAATGTGATAAGTTGTAGACATAGAGCAGTATGCCAACAAATAAATGAATGAATAGAAGCGAAGGCATAAGCAATGAAACAATGTTCATAGGCTGAATGTTTTGTTTGAGAATGAAACACTGACCGACGACTGGTTTCAAAGTAGAACTTTGCACAGATGTGCACCAGTTCGAGTTACCATACTCCCTCCATGTACCACTCAAAACAAGAGAAGAGAGTAAACAGAGATTCAAAAGACAGATAATAAACACAAGTGGGAGCCATAAAGAATAGTGATATGGAGGAACAATAGAGCTTTAGTGGATAGGACAGATTACAATGAGTGAATGCATCTGCACCAGCCATTGACAACGATTTTGAGACATATCATCAATTGTATCCAGCCACTGACTTTTACCGTCCCGACCACCACACACCAGCCAGCCACTCTACACCTCCCTACATGGCTGGCCGAATTAAACTAACTGTTGTGGATTTCATTGACTGATCGAGCCATTTCTTTGTTTGACCACCACCACTGGCTCTTTTCCAACCTGCCTCATCCTATGTCAGTTAACATTGTCCATTGTCGAGGAAAGCGATCGATGACTAAGCATACGTAACACATGTCCTAACCATCTCAGCCAATGTAGCTTCACAGCCTCGCAGATTGATTTCCCCCTCTTACCTAGCACTCGACGCCTAACCTCGATATTGTTCACCCTATTATACCAGTTAACACGGGAGACAGAACGCAGGCACCCATGATCAGAGACAGCTAGCCTGACTCTTCACGTCTCCCACTCTCAATGGCCATGCATCGCTCACAGTCATTAAGGAGGACAGAGCGAACTGTTGACCAGTACACACGCCCTTTGGTCGACAGCTAGCCGGATATCACATCTACTAAGCCAGAGATGGCGTAAACTGGCATATGCGAAACGAGCCTTCTGTATCTGTGCTGAGATTTCGTCAGCGATGAACCCACTGCCCCCCTTTTGAAATGCTCCCATATGACCGGGCGTCTTACATAGCCTCTCCTGAGGAAGTCCTACTCACTGCCTTCACGTGGCGGTGTTTTTCACCGAAGTGAGAGGGCAAAAGCGGATGCCCGGCGCTCTTCACTGGATTGACTGTCCATTGGATGACAGTTTAGGGGAGATGGGTAAACCCTGATTCCAAACCTCCAACGACTGGCGTATGAAACTCACCGGAGCTCACCGATAGACGTATGGACAAAGGGCTTATTGGATGCCCTGGATGTCTGGCCCCATTCAAAAAGGCGTATGAACCAGACTCCGGTCACCGGCTGCCAATGGATAGTGGATTCCCTACTCCACTTCTACTGCCTTGTAGGTCACACTTGGTTGTGTAAAGGCTAGAGCTGCAATCTCAAACAAAAGGCCGAGCGATGCTGGGGACATCACTCGTACCTAATTCCCATCAAACTTCATGAACTCTCTACAACATCAACCAAATTCCAGTACCGGTCCAACAACGTCGCCTTCGGTGGTTTGGCCATGTTCTGCGCCAACCAGATGACGATCTGGTCAAATCAGTTCTAAATCCCTCGCCATTTCCATCTTGGCGATGTCGCAGGGACGGACAGCTGAAAACATGGCTTGGTACAGTCAAGGCTGATATAGAGTGCCTGGGGCTACAAACCGTTTACGGACTCCGTCTGTGGAACAAGAATTGGATAACCCTGTGGCAAAACCTTGCATCAGATCGCCGCGCCTGAGCAGCGATGATTCGAGATGTTCATGAGGCCGGCTCATCCTCTCGTAGGAGATGGCCGAAGTAAAGTAAAGTAAGTACTGCCCCTGGCTGATGCAACTTCCCAAATAAGTGAAGTGGTCAACACGCTCCACCAACCAATTCACTACCTATTTCTAATCTAGGATTAGTCGATGTAGTCTATTCCTGTAGCCTCATCAACTTACATTCGACAAAGGCAGCGAATCACGTGCCAAACATTCGAAGAGTGCTGCCTGTCAACCTGTTCAGAAGACTCTTCTGCATTTTGTCAGCGTCTTCACCTAGAAGGACTATATCATCTGCATATTCTAAGTCAACGAGATTATTCCCTGGTAACAAGTCAATCCCCGAGTCGCTGAAGCCAGCAGTTAGGGTTAAGTCCATTAGTGCATCTATGACGAGGTTAAATAGAAATGGGGACAGTGGGCATCGCTGAGTGCCTTAATCAGTGCAATGTATTTTCTCGATATTTCCTTCGCAGCTGAACATCGCCATAGTACCTCTCGGTCGACAGAATTGAATGTTGGCTTCAGGTCAAGCTAATGACGATTGTTGGACGCCGGTAAGTATGGCTATGTTCAGAATCTGTCGAAGGGTGAAGATATGATCAATACACTCTCTTCCTGGTATAAAGCCTGCCTTTTTCTCTCGTGTTTGTTCCTCCCGAGAGCCGTTTAGTCTACACATTATTATCGAGCCTAGAACATTAGACATTATATTGGTTAAGCTAATCCCCCTGTGATTATCACGGGAAAACTTGTCTCCCTTGTAGCCCAATTTGGTTTGTGATATAGCAGCAGTTGTCGTTCAGTAACACTGGTAATTAAAATTTTCTCACATTTATCTTGGTTAATTATGCCGATCACGGATTTTCAAGAGAATTTCACTAGTCACTCATAAAAAGCAATTATATGCACTTATAGTCAACAAATGAAACAAACCAACTTAAAAAAAAGAAAAACTTACGATTCGATTCACACATCATATCTAAAAGAACCATATCATCTTCAGGTCGACCAGGGGTTTGACAAATAACACACTCATATGATGGTTCACTCTTATCCAACTGATCTTGACGATCTACTGTCTGTTGATCTGAAATAGAAAAAAATTGCAGGCAAAGAAAAACATGCAAATCTAATCAGTAGCTTGGCCTCGAATAATTCATATCCGAATAAAATTCCAATGATAAAAATAGTTAAAAATTGATATAAATCAAATAACAGGATAAATTTCAACTGAAGGTCATCTTTTCGTTTAAATACATTTTGCCTTGAGATTAAAAACTCTACAGCACAAATGATGTTAATTAAAATGAAACAACGCATAACGCGGTACAACAAACTTAATATGAGTAGGAAGAGGACTTAGTACAAATCACACACATTGTGTACATTTATACATCTAGTATTTTATGAATTAAAAGAAATCTAGGGGGGGGGCAATATAATCACAGCCAACGTCAGCAGGGAAGATTATAATTTCACCCATGAAGAATTCACAAAGACCAGGACACTTCGAATTTAGCACCGAAGATTTTGCCAAGAAGTTCAATGAAATCTTCCCAACTAAATCAATCAGCTCACAGAATACAACATTAAAAGCATCCGTCTGAACCAAAGAAATCCCCCAAACGATAGACAGTACTCTCTATGGTCATGTTTAAACTGATTATGGCTTCTTCCTATATACAAGGATTCAATTTATTTCAGTTGAGTAGCACAAGCTTCAGCAAACTCAAGTAATTCCTGATAATTCTGCTTACTGATGACCATGCATAATGGTCAAAGTCTACGGAACGACGCGTCATGGAGATTCATGAGATCCAGCAGTATTTGACAATCATTTATGAAAGCGCTGAGCAGATTAAGTCGACAGACATTTGTCGGTACACTTAATGTGTTTGTTTCCACAGTTTGATGTGGTGACCATTTAAGACTGAACTTTGGCTGCTATTAGCAGTAATCGTGGTTGTTTTCGTTTTACCGTCTTCTCTAGGCGACGTTATGCATGCCCAGGGATCGCCTTCTTTGACAAACAATGTTAGCTAAAACAAGGTTAGATAAGAAAAGAGCTAAGCGGAGTGGTCAGAATAAAACATGGCGCGAATCCATATAGTCTTTGACTGCTTGTATGAGGCTTTCATGTTGGTAAAAACTAATGGTTGGAGACTCCATTTATACTTCTGAGAATATTACCACTTCTTATTAATTATATTGGCAAATAATCACTCACTTCCTATCGAGCATACACTTAGAAAACCTAAAAATTAATTCTTGTCAGCATGTCCACGTGTTTCTATATATGCTAACCTCTTGAATTTGTATAAATAATTTTTTTTCTTATTCATCAGCTGACAAGCATAATTGAAATCTACGAATCTATTAAATACTCTCCATTCTCCCAATCGCTGCTTGTTTTAAATACATAGTAGCAAAAACTGCTAGCATTTTTAAAGTAAAATACAACTTATCTGAACGGAAGTAAGTGGATTATTGGTGGATGGTGACTAGCAGTGTAATCCAGGATAAAGCGCATTTCGTCCTATCTGGGACTCTTCACTGGATGCACCTGCATTTCCCAGTGAGTGATGATGTTCCCACCGAGACCCGAACCCAATGCCCATAGTTTCAAACACCAAAGCGTTATCCACTAGACCACTTGGGCCACGAGAGCCACCTCTTGTGCAACGGGTCATATTAATTATTTAATTGAATTTTTGATTTTCCCGTCGATTGATTGGAAAATCAAAAGTTCAATTAAAAGATTATGTTTCCGTCTAAAATTTGAGTTTTAAGGCAGACTGCTCCCTCAAAGTTACTTTACATAGAGAACCATTCAAAGCCCAGGAAGTTTGGAGAATTGCCTCCTTCTGATGTAGGGACTCTTCAACAATGTGCATGCAAAACCTCAAAGAAAAAAGGCCGAATGTGCTAGCAATCAACTACTGAGTTGTAATCTAACTTCCATAATGTTATTGTAATTCACAACTTAATTAAAGTAAGAACTTTAGATCATGTGACTTCTATGCAGTATTTTTAGTTTACAATTGCAAGAAATAGGGTAGGAAACGCTTAAGAACAAAAACATACACGGTATGTATTTTCGTGTTAATTATCAAGGATTGATATACGAACCAAGAAGACGTTTTTCAAAGATAAAATCAGAAAGGATAGAATGAAATGTATGATTGTTAAAAGCATCATTCTCATGATTAATAAAGTGTTATAACTTACTAAGCGATTCCATATCCTTTAAATGCGTGGAAGCAAAGGCCTTTTGTTTAGACGCCATCTGTTCCATAAGACGTCTACGTCGTTCTTGTGCTGCACGTTTTCTATCATCACGTGTAACATTTGTTGGTACTGGTGAAACAGACGAAGGATTTGTCACATTTTGAGGTATCGAAGGATTACTTGGTAGATATGGTGAGAAAAAGAAATACAATAGCGTACAGAAATTTTGTCAATTAATTAATGATAGATAGATAGATCATTTGTTTACATAACGTACACTAACGCAATAGAAGGGATTCTTCCTTACAATATACCAATTGTAGAAAAGTATATACAATGACTACAAATAATAAATTTCAAATACGAAGAAGCGTCTATCCATTCGAGATCATCTCAGGATCAAGCCACGTAGATGTGGGTTTAGTGTTTCATGGTATACGTCAATCCGAAGTACCTTAAACAGAAGAGAGCTGATTGCCCCTTGAAAACGAAGTCAACCAGTATTCAGTTAGATATACTACAAGTGAGCATTTTTATTTGCCATGAATAACCTAATACTGGAGGGAAAAGAACAGGAAGTTCAGCAAAGATAAACTTTTCGGCGATTTCATCCCCAAAAGCTGTAACAATCGCATTTATACACATAAGTTTGCATAGAAGAAATTATTATTTAATCCCATATAATAACGAAGGAGATCAAAGGTGATAATTACTTCAGTTATAAAAAAAACCCATCTCAAATTGTTTCCATGCTGATCTCATTTACACCTGCATTGTATATAGCAAAACTTATTTTACATATAACGCAACTATTTCCTAATCCTGTGTAATTTTGTTTCTAAGCCCCTAGTAATCTATACTCACACCTTCAAACTTTCACATCTAGTTGATAAAATTATTACCACCTTTAATCTCCCTCGTTATTATGTGTAATTAAACAATAATTGTAAACTTATGTATATAAATGAGATTGTATAGCTGCCTTTGAGAGTGAAATTGCCGAAAAATCCTAATATTAGTCAAAACTGAACTAACTCAGTTAAATGTCGGACAACAGTTATGTTGACTTCAATTTAGTGACACTTCAAAAACTTGTGTGTGGTGTGTTTAGATCATGAATGTGTTAATATCCACTTATTATCGGCATTAAATACGTTTTGATTTAGGTAAACTATAAGTGTTATGAAGCCCAAAAAGTTAGATATTTAAAAGCAATGGCTGCGACGGTGGCACAGTGGTAGAATGCTCGCCAATCACACATGTGGTCTGGAATCCAATCGCCGACCGACACACTACTAAACCTCGCCAAGCCATCAATAAGACTGGTAAAGAGGAAAGGTTGGCGTGAGGTCAGCGACCCGATACCGTAAAAATAGATACAACTGCTACCGAAACTTCAAGCCCCTAGCTTGAAGCCGTATGTTCCACTGGGAACGTTAAGGAATAAAAAAAAGTAATAAAGCAATGGTCGAAACAATAAGTCTTAAAGGAGTAATTGAATTGATAAACACAGTAAAAGGTGGCTAGGCTAGACACTTCATCTTTTTAACTTGTATTACACTGCAAGTAGTAATTTTGACGCATTCATTTGTTATACCTTTTAGGTACAACAATAGTAGTAATAATAATAATAGCTTTATTCCAAACAGTACTTTTGGTTCAAATATTGAATTTTGAGCATGTAAAGCACCTTTGTCATTACAGGAATAACAACTAAAACAGATCATTTACATTGATAATATTGTTCAATAAGAAAATGAATATAAAATTAAGTAAAAATTTTATTAACAGTGTAACAATGAAAAAATTGGACCATTTACTTAGAGCTCGGCAATAAGCTGGTAATTTCCTGCCTTACACTTTTGGCATCACATAAAATGTGTGCCAAATAAGATATTGTGAAGTTTTTATACTTAGTCGTCCGAGAATAAAAAGTCTTCTATAGTTGGTTCGAGTTCTATTAGATGAAATGCAAGGAGAGTTACGTATATAGAGGATGATCAAGGTCTGACAAGATAATATTCGCTTGTTTCTTATATGAGTGTATATCTATACCAGTATAAACGAGTTGGTTTAATGACAACCCACTCACCTTACTGACAGTTTTTAGTGCACTTCGCAGTGTAACAAAGTCTTTCTCAAGTAGCTCGGTTAGGAATAAAGAGAAGCAGTAAAGAGGTATAGACAGATTACAAGAATTAACAAACAGTATCGGTAGAGACGAAATGATACCAAATCGTCTTAACTTCTTTACATAGCATGTCAAACGAAATATCTTTCTGGAAACTAACATGATGCGGGAAGACCGGGAAAGATTGGAGAAAATAGACAGTTCAAGGTATTTAACATCCGATTTTAGTTTCAAATTCTGTGGCATCTATGATAGTGGAACCTTGTAAAATATCCAGTTCGTGAAAGTCAAGTGTGTGCGTCTGAGTGTCTGTCTGTCTGTTTCCGACATAGAACTTTGCACAAATGTGCGGAAGTTCCAGTCGCCACATTCCGTGTAGCACGCGAAGCAAGAGAAGAAAGTACAAGAAAAGCATAATAGAAACAGTGAGCAGAGGGGTGAGACAAAGGAGTAATAAAGAAATACAAAACAGTTTCATTGAAGATCATAAGTCACAGGGAGTGGATGCATCTGCGCCACTGAGAACGATTTTGAGCCATGTCACCAATTGTTTCCAACCATAGATTTTTGCCGTCCCGAGGACCCCAGCCTGGAAGTCTACACCTCCCTACGTGGCTAAGACCAACTGTTGTGGATTTCATTGACTGATGCCAAGTTTTTGTTTGACCGCCGCTAGCTTTTTCCCAGCCTGACCCTATATCCGCTAACATAGCTCGACGAGGGAGGCGATGACTTGGAATACGTAACACATGTCCTAACCATCTCAGTCGATGTAGCTTCACGACTTCGTCGATTGATTTCCCCTGTTTACCTAGAACTCTACGCCTAACCTCCATGTTGCTCACCTTATTATGCCACTTTACACGGGAAATAGAACGCAGGCACCTATGATCAAAGGCAGCTAGTCTTTTCATGTCTTCCACTCTCAGTGGCCAGGTCTCACAACCATAAAGGAGGACGGAGCGGACTGATGAGCAGTACACCCGCCCTTTGGTCGATAGTCGAACATCTCGTCTACGCCAGAGTCGGCGTAAACTAACAAATGCGAAACGAGCCCCTTGTATTCGTGCTGAGTGTGAAATTAACAAACTGACATTTGGAGGGATTAAGCTTTAGACCATTTGATAAGATCACCTGACTAATTTCTGATAAAGTGCTATTCATTTTGGAACAGTTTGACTGAGAAGTAACAGGCATAGAAGCAGTCAGATCATCGGCATACTTAACAAAATTGGTTTCATCAGAAGGGGGGAGTCATGTAAGAAAACAGAAAAGGAGAAAGAACAGCTCCTTGAGGAACACCAGCTAGGATAGGTGAAGCAGTGGAGGACTTCCCATTGTAAACAGTGTATAGTGCCGCCGATTGTGTCGCAGTAAGCTTGTTAAACAAAAGACATCTAGTAACAGAGTCAAAGACAGATGTGTAATAATCTAGGAAGGAACACCTGTCTAAACAAGACATAGTACTATGATATAAGACGACAGTGGCATCTAAAGTACACCTTCCATGTTTATCAGCAAATTCATAAGGGTCGTTGAAAGACTTAATGGAGGTTCAAGGTTAAGTAAAGGCAGTTTTTCCACTATTTAAGAAAAGGTGAAGTAATGACAATAAGTCTAAACTTAACAGTGGGTCAATCTGGTGATTTAGGCACAGGCACAATTTTAATGTCCTTCTAAGAAGCAGCACAATGTTAATGGAAAACGATTATTTAAGTGTTGGTTTGTAGGGATTTGGTCACAGGATTTCATCATTGATTAGAGAACCACTGGAAAACCAGCTGAGAGTACTGGACAACTGTTTCGTCCCAGTTTGAGACTCTTCAGCAGTACGCACCCACCGTGGTTCGAAACCAAGACCTACTGGTTACAAGGCGAGCTCGTATACCATTAAGCCACTGGGACCCAATCCAATGGCCCATGAATTCTAACTTCTGCCAATTCATGACATAGCGCGACCCCTAGCCAATGTCTTCGGCAAGTATTTGTCCTCAGACCCGACCTGCTGCACCCTACTGGTCACGAAAACAATTAATTGAAAATCCCAACCAGAGGATAACATAAAATTTCAGCACATTTTTTGAGGTTATTAGCTGGTGCGCCATCTGGACCAAGGGATGAATTAAGTCTCAAGGATTTAAGACTCTTGAGGACATCGTTCGTGTTAAAACCGGAGAAGCGGTCATTATTTGTACTTGTAGCAAATATGATTCGTATGACCTACTCATAAACATATTCTCTTATTCTATTTTCCATAAACAGAATTTATGTGATTCGTTCATCTTCTTATCCTTATACTTGGCGAAATAAACTTTTAATTTCCTTGATTTACCCAATACTGTATGTATGTACACAAGTTTGTACTCCAATCTAATTTTACATTATTAGTGTTGGCATTCATTTACAAGGATTTGATAATCAGATCGATTAGAATTCATTGTGGACATTAACCAAAGTGTGTCGGTAGTTCAGCGATAGAACGCTCGCCAACCATGAACATAGTCCAGGGTTTGGTCCTCCACCGACGCACACTTAAAGCTTGCTTAGTCTGTAGTAAGCCTGATAAAGAGGGGAGGTTGAGAGTTGAGAATGGCAGTTTCACCCAGCAACTGGAACTTCAAAGCTCTTACTTGAACCTCTATGTTCCGCTCGGAATGTAAAGCAATAACATTTTAAAAAGTAAAATAAACTGTAATTTTTTTTTGAATAAAGCTCTTTAAGATATCTGACAGACAATTGGGTTCTTATATTTGTGTCATATGTATACATGTGTTTCGACTGTCTCCTAGTAGAAACATAATCGGATATAACCAATATATTACAGGTCACCCATGAAAAATCTGGATCGACAGTATGGGGCATACCATTAGGATATTCAAATATATTAGAATACATGTCACCAAATTACTGGTTCATGCATAAGCCTATAATCTTTTGAATAACTTAACAACATATTTTAATACCGTCAGCTAATATCTATTATAATTGTAACGTGAGTTAAGGACAATATCACATTGATAAAGTCTAAAGTAAACAACTTGCATTGAGAATATAACTTGGATAAGGAGAAAAATACATCTATATATACTCACTAATCATTTGTTAAAGGATGCAGTTTTGTAGACGTTTGAAGATTTCGTAAACTTGCGGACCCCTCTTCATCAAGTTTCTTTGAATTACATGAAATACCTTCCGATTGCTGTGGTTGTTGTTGCTGCAGCTGCTGATATCCTGGACCAACATTTATATCTTTACTGGATGACATAGTATCCATTGGTTGAAGAGTATGTAATTGTGCTACAGTATGGTATGGATTTCTAGCTCTAGCCAAATACATTTTAATTGCTGACTTATTATTTTCTGATAAGGAGGCAATTTTATCCAACAAGCGTTCTATCCAGTAAGCACCATCACCGAAATTTGTATGATGACATTCATTTGTTGGCATCGAATCACTTTGATCTTCAGCATACTGAGATGGAGGATGGGAACACTGACTCTTTGTTGAATCTAGGATATCAGAAAATTAATGTGTGAGAATGAAATAAGAAAACTAAATAGTTGAAGTGTTTATTTTAAGAATATTGGGTAATTTTCACTTGGTATCATTCCATATCGGAGAGGTCTACCACAGCATAAGTACAGACAGAAAATAATAAACTGTACAGGGAGTCAATCTAACTAAAATCGGTCATTCCAAGCAATAACACCTAAAAGACACGCATATAATGTATTACGTACAACTGCTCGCCTGTCATAAAGACAAAACAACAAACACTGTTTGGATAATTAAGTATTGGTTTGTAGGGATTTGGTTGATTTGTCAGCTCATGATGAAATCCTGTAACTGTTTGGATAAGTCGAACTCATTTAACTAATGTGCTCTGAATTCTCGCGCATACGTAACAGATTCAAATTTTGCTTACACTTTACAATTTTAGCGATAAATTCAGTTCAATTGACTATAAACTTTAATAATAATAATAATTTGCTTTATTCCAAAACAGTACTTGTGATACACAGAATGGAATTCTCAGCATTTCACTACAGTATTGCATCCAGTTTGTACATCAACAATAAATAAAAAAATTCTACATAGATTATGGGTAGTCTCAGTTAGTTTCAACAATAACATATTGGCATATCGGTAGCAAAGCCAAAAATGAACAGACTGTTTGCAGGTGTTAGAAAAGTAGATACTAGCATATTTACTGGCGGTAACAAAAAAAGTCGAGATTTACAGAGTGTGAAAGAACGAAGAATGTTTTAATAGAGTTAGTAAGGAAGAAAGAAACAAAGCAGCAGATAACAGAAAAAAAGGAAAGGAAAGAAAACGTTGTACCTATAAACGGTATAAGTTGGAAAGACGAGATCCAGTTGTTCTACTGACTATTTAACAAATTATAAATTTCACGCCTAATGCTTTCTTTATCGCACAGAACACGAGCTAGGTAGGGTATGGTTGAGCTTTTGCACTTGCTAGTGCGAGCATATAGTTTTCTATATGGGCTTCTGGTTTTGCCTGATGAGATACAAGGGGAGAGTTGTGAATGAAGAGGGTGGTGTGAGTTAGATAGGTTGGATTTAGCCCATTTTTCACATACATACTTGTGTAGTTCAATTCTTCGTCTGCATAACAACTGATTTCTTAGACGATTCCCTTCAATACCTTAAAATCATGCATGATTAATAATTAAGTGTCAGGATTTTTTAAACTTCTCACTAAAAGCGTTTTAAGACTAAAAATGTTGGCCTTAGTGTTGATGCCATAGAGTAAAATATTCTCTACATAAGTTGCTTATGAGATGAAGTTGCCAGTACTTCAGTGGAATTTTTCCACACCAGAAAACACAACGCAGCTTCTTTTCAGAACATCTACAAATGCTAATTCAACAGACTGTGACCGATTTTTTTTAGTGCGTCCGTGGCACAATGGTTAGAACTCTCGCCGACCATGCACATGGTCTGGGGTTCGATCCCCTGCCGACGCACACCTGATATCAATGGTCGGCCTGCAAAATTTGGGCTACCGATACCCATGCTGAAAATTCCATACTTGTACCAAAAATACAGTATGGAATCAAGCTGTAATCAAAAATTTAAAAAAATAAAATAAAAAATTTTAACACAACCCAATCTCAAAGGATAATATGTACAAGGTGGAATGGAAAAGAGGTAAAAATGAATAATTAGTCGAGCAGTCTCTAGTTGGTCAGAAAAATAAGTGTACTTTCCCAGCACTGCTGGCTGTTTAGTATTTCTTATCATTCAACAAAAGCGATGACATACGACTACTTTGCATAGTATCAGTAAGAAGTTGGCTTCATAATATAGTCTAGTCAAGTTTTGAAACATGATCTCAGGACAGTATATCGGTAATTTATTTTTTTTTAAAGAATAACATTAACTTATGTTGTTGCATTTTGCTTGCACTATCAGTTGTTCTTATGATATGCAAACTTAAACTTACAACAACATATATCTATTATTACATGACTTGTGAGGTTGATTAAAATGGACTGTGACAATATTTCAGCCAGTAGTCTTCAGGTTATCGATCAATGCTTTAACATCTATGCACGTCAATTATAATAAGCACTTAGGAATTTCAATACTTGATCACCAGATAACCTTGAGGAAACTCATTTTCCCAGAGTTATTTCATTGCTAAACTCAGGGACCATACTAGTGGTGTATTCAAAACTAACCAAATAAATTTTTTATAGTTAACAATTTGAGTGAGCAGATGAATCAATAAAACTTTGTAATTTAAGAGGATAACGTAAAGCATGAAATGCATAATAGGACCACTGATGATGTTTTTACGAATTACTGTTAAACAACCAACACCGGGTATATTGACTTTTTTTTTGTTTTTTTTATCCTTCACGTTCCCCAGTGGAACATAGGGCTTCAAGCTAGTTGCTCGAAGTTTCTGTAGCAGTGTATATTTTACAGGACGTGGTTGCTAGCCCCATGCCCAACCTTTCCCCTTTACCAGCATTATTTCTGGCTCAGCGAGGTAAAGGAGTGCGTTGGCCGGGGATCGAATCCCGGACTATGTCCATGTTCGGCTAGTGTTCTAACCTCTATACCACCGACGCGAGCATATTGATTGCTTCGAAGAATCTTCCTTGTGATAACTTTTTGTGACCCGCTTTCATCGAATCACTTACAGAGTTCAGACTATGATGTCTTCAGGCAGTAAGAATCGGTTGAATCAAGAATAGGCAAACTTCAACCAAAGCTGAAAAAAGCTGTGAAACAAGGCTAAAAAAAAGTGTTCTCTTAAAAAGCAATGAATGCCGTAGCACATTCATGTATGAAACAAAAATTACAATAACTACCCGAACAAAAATGTATGTCACTGTTTGCTATTAAATCCTACTGAAAACATTTTGACTACCCACCAGTGGTTGACTGATTCCTTTCCTCTGGAAGACAATACGCTGGTTTTATTGATGCAAAATAACGTAATTCCGGTGGTAGACTAGCAATAACTGATGGGTTGAATTTAGCTGTATTAAAATTAGACGACGGGATATTACGATCATTTGAATTATCAGCTTCATTTGGCATTAGCACAGACATACAACGAGCAGCCAAAAAGTTACTAGTACTTGTAGAAGTACTATGCTTTGGAAAATTGTGCAAAATTTCCTCCCAATTATTAGCTTGATTATGTCCAGTTAATAATAGATTATTAGTGTCATCATTTAGGCCAGATGTCATCATTATTACAGTCATAGGTGAGTCAATAACTGATGTATTCGACTGTTGTACAGCAGTTGTATTTGGTTCAATGAAAGATGATCCAGCAACAGCAATTTTCGGGATAGCTTCACCACTGCCAACAATACGACTCCAATAAAGACGTGCATGTGCTTTGATCAATAAAGAAATAAGACTATCCAAAATAACACTACAATGAAAAGTAAAAACAATAACAATAATTGTTTTAGTATAAGAAAATAAAAATTTCCAGTTTTGTAAATACTAATAAGTGAAATTCATAAACAAAGACTGTATTCATCAAAAATCAGTCTATGATTACCACGAGGAATATTGATAGCCTTGAAATAGTGTTCTTTACACATGGTATTTATTTTATATTTTATCCTTTTACTTTTTAAGAGTTGACTTGTAAGGATTAGATTTGTTTTTCGAATTTGACCACGAATTGCTATCAGTTAGAGAACCATTGAAAACCAGCATAAAGTACTGGACAACTGTTTCATCCTAGTTCGTGAACCATTGGCAGTATGCACCCACCGCCAGGGTTCGAACCTACGACCATCCGGTTTCAACGCAAGCTCGTATACCATTCGGCCACTGAGACCCGATTCAACGACCAGTGCATGAATTCTAACCAATTCGTGATTTTAGTGCGATCACGACCCAATGTCATCGGCGGGAAATCGATACCTACTCCCGACTGGATGGACCTTAGTGGTCACGGCTTCTCACTAGAACTCCAGTGGAATATAGGACTTCAAGCTAAGCCTTTGAAGTTTCAGAAGCGATTGCACTTATTTTTACAGGAAGAGGTTGCTAGTCTCATATCCAACCTTCCTTCTTCACCAGTCTTATTACTTAGTTCCTAGTTGGGGTCTTCGGGACGGTAAAAACCAATGGTTGGAAACGATTAGTGACATGGTTCAAAATCGTTCTCAATGGCCGGCATCCACTCCTTGTAACTTATGATTTCCGATGTAACTATGTTGTTCTTCGTTATTAAAATTCCTTTGTCTCACACCTCTGTTTACTGTCCCTATTATGCATCTCTTCTACTTTCTTCTCTTGCTTTGTGTGTTACATGGAGTGTGGCGACTTGAAGTGGTGCACATATGTGCAAAGTTCTATGTCAAAACAGTCAGACAGGCAGACCGACTTAGTGAGGTTCAGGAGTGCGTCAGCCAAGGGTCAGACCCTTGACTACACCCATGGTTGGCGAGCATTCTACCTATGAACCACCAGCGTGCACACACAGAGTACACTGGTAAAAATATTGTAAGAAAATTTTAAAAAATCAACAGATTGACATCAAGTTAGTGAATAAACAAAGAACCTACAACAGATGGAAGGGAAAAAACTTCTCTTTAAAATAAATGTATCAATCCTTAGTTTTGTTCTACAAGGCCAATATAACCAAGGAGATGTAAAAATAAGGTAAGACTTATGATGCATAAATCATGTGCGCATATGAAACAGTAAAATGTTTCACCACCTGTGGTTGTATATCACCCACATTTATACAAAGAAACGAGGAATCAAAGACTCGTTTATTATAATACATTGAACATCACGTGATCACTTTTGTCTAGAACAGCTAACAAAATTTTAACATAACCGAGTAGTACACTGACAGGCAGACGCATATAAACAGGTAGCTTACATAGAAATATATTAAAACTGTTGCGTATCATAATGGCACAACAACGAGGAAGTAAACAAAAACAAGAATAGTATTACACATAGGTAGAAGGAATACTGGGTGGTGAAAATGTGCTATATTTCGGCGATAAACAATGGATACATATGTCGTTCAGGTATGTAATTATAATCAATGTCACTGAGATCCTGCAGTCATTGATTTCTAAAATGAGGCAGTTTATATATTCCTGAGCATACTTGTCTGAACCCAGTTACTGAAACAGACCTTCCATGTCCCAGGCTAAGAGGCGCACTTATTGTGTGAGGGATGATACTACCCAGTTGCGCCTAAGCTGAAGTAGGCGGAGCAGAATCCGAATCCTAGATCCACTGGTTAAAAGTTGAATGCTTAAGTTAATGAGTCACGGCCCTAAGTACATAAATGAAAGTTCTACCTGAGAAAATATTATTAATTCAAGGAATATTTGAAGTAGGATAGCATTGCCTAGAAGATAAACCTGTTATAAATCTTACTTTCGTTGAAAGTACCACTAAAATAAAACTACGTATCGCAAAGAACATCTGTGCACCAAGTCAGAAAATGATGAAAAGCGATAAAATACCGTGAAAAACAAGAAAGAGGTAACAAGAAAAGAAGATAATGAAATATGAAATTAAAACTAGAACAGAATGAAGACAAAAGATAAATATGTCAGCAATAACATTAGATTATGGACCATATCATCTAAAATTGTGTGCATCAGCGGTTCACTGGTAACACACCAACTAACCACGCATGTGGTCTAGAGTTCGATGTCCGCCCGACGCACTTTTAAACCTCGCTAAGCCGGTAGTAAGGCCGGTAACTGAAACTTCACAGATCTAGCTTGAAGCCATATGCTCCACTAGGAACGTTAAGGAATTTAAAAAATCACCTAAAATTAGTTTATTCCGACATTTTCAATGTTCGAGATATGCGTACTGTAAAAATTATGAACTCAAGAGTGAAATGTAAAGCATGAGAATACCTTTAATTAAAGTGGATATCAATAGAAACTTCAAAATCCAGTGTTCCATCTATAAAGGGAACAAGCTGACTGAGGATATATCCTAATAGAAGAATAAATGCAGTACACTCTAGTCTACACAGAGATGATGTGAGGCCAGAAAGCTAATAATCGACGAAATGCTCGTAATTCACTGAAAGTTCTTCTGTTACCTAGTTACGAATCGTATATGGATTGACTTGCTACCAGGGAATAATCTCGTTGATTTAGAATATGCAGACGATATAGTCCTTCTAGGCGGGGACACATTGAGCTGCAATCTACGAATGTCTGTCATGCGATTCGCTCCCGTCAAATGCAAGATGATGTTACAGCACTGGACAACACTGCCTCCTAGTTTATAAATAGGAAGTGAAGTGTTAGAGCACATTGATCGCTTCACTTACTTGGGAAGTACCATCAGCCAACGCCAACGGGTTGATCACTGACGAAATCTCATCACGGATACAGGGGGCTCGTTCCGCATTTGCCAGTTTACGCCATCTCTGGTGTAGACGAGATATTCGACTACCGACCGAAGGGCGGGTGTACTGCTCATCAGTTCGCTCCGTCCTCCTTTATGGCCAGCTGTGAGACCTGGCCACTGAGAGTGGAAGACATGAAAAGACTAGCTGTCTTTGACCATAGGTGCCTGCGCTCTATTTCCCGTGTAAAGTGGCATAATAAGGTGAGCAACATGGAGGTTAGGCGTCCAGTTCTAGGTAAACAGGGGAAATCGATCGACGAAGTTGTGAAGTTACAAAGATGGAGATGGTTAGGACATGTGTTACGAATGCCTAGTCATCGCCTTCCTCGACAATGGGCAATGTTAGCGGATATAGGGTTAGGCTGGAAAAAAGCTAGAGAAGGTCAAACAAAAACATGGCCGAACCAGTCAATGAAATCTACAACAGTTAGTTTAAGCCAGCCACGTAGGAAGGTGTAGACTTCCTGGTTGGGGTCCTCGGGACGGTAAAAATCTATGGTTGGAAACAATTGGTGACATGGCTCAAAATCGTTCTCAGTGGCTGATGCTGATGCATCCACTTCTTGTGACTTATGATCTTCAATGAAACTGTTTTGTTCTTCGTTATTACTATTCCTTTGTCTCACACCTCTGTTTACTGTCCCTATTATGCATCTCTTCTACTTTCTTCTCTTGCTTTGTGTGCTACATGGAGTGTGGCGACTTGAAGTGGTGCACACATGTGCAAAGTTCTATGTCGAAAAGACAGACGAATCGTATAGATGTGAACAACATGCATGCAGAATCCAACAATCGAATTTTGCACCCCTCTTTTAAAACTTACATATCTTGTTACTAATACCTATTAGGTATCTGTTTTGATGACCTTTAACCACTTAATTTCAACATCCTATACTGAAAACCGACTAACTAAAATAACAATTTGATTGGTAAAACATTTTTGATGCGAAAAACTGTTTATTAGTGTAGAGCCAACGATGAGGAACTAATTGAAAAGGAGTGTATATTTCTTCGCTCAGTCTGTTGTTTTCTCGTGATGAAACTTGACTAAGTATATCTTTATGGATTGACCAAAGTGAACATTGACAGGTGTGAGTAAGAGAATAACTGGGTAGATTAATTATTAGGGGAAATTAACAAAAAATGAACAAATATTACACTATAGGAACTAAATAGTAGTACAAAAAAACGATAACTAACTTTTTACTGTCACTTTGTAACTCAGTATTAGGTAATACGGGTACGGTACTCATAGTGATATTTAAATCGTTATTCTCTTTATTAGGTAAACTAGCCAGCATTATTTGAGCACATGAAACATTCGGCATATAACATTTTGAAACCATAAGCCAACAATTTAAATTATCTTGTATACTTGTACGCGGCTCATATGGACAATTAATTAAACTTGTATCCCAAAACTTGTTATGACGACTAACAGATGGAGGCATAGCTGAAGTATACAGGGAATTCGATGTTAACGGAGTTAATGAATTACTCCAGGGTTGACGACACCATATATGCGGTGAACGATAACCACACATACGCCCACGTACTTTACCATATCCACGTGAATCACTAGTTAAATCACTTTCTTCATGATCATCTGAACTACCACCACCTCCATCTCGACCAACACCACCATCATCATCATCGTCGTCATAGTCATAATCAATTTGATCTAGTCTATCAGAATCTGCATCCTCAATAATCTCCTCGAATGTTCCCTTATCCCAATCCATTATAACATCATCTGTGAATACTTTATCGTGTGATTGAGATTTTTGAATTGATGATTGTGATTGTTGTAAGTTTTCTGGTTTTTCTTGTTGCTCCATAGACTCCATGGGACTATTTCCACAATTACTGATGTTAAGTGATGTTGGTAAAATAGATCCAGGGAATTCTTGCGTCTCATTAAAAACCTTTAAAGAAGAGAAATAAATAAGAAAACGCAATTATGTATACCAACCAATATCCGAATTCAGAAAGTAACAGACAGCACATCGAGAAACCGAGGTAAATTCCTAATACGACTGGGTCTTTACAAAATAGCATAACAGTTAAAACAAGCGCTAGACTGAAGCTGAGCTTGAAAAAATAATAATAAATGATGGTAAATGTAACGTCTTCCCTTATCAGACCTAAGAAAACCTCCGAAAATGTGTCTTCACCTTAAGTCGATTTGTGCTGCATTAAAACTAACTTCAATTCACAGGATGTCAGTGAAATGCACCAAACACGGTTGAGACTGATTATATTTCGTCTATTAGAGTTGTAAAAATAAAGTTTAGAACAGAAATGACGATGAAGGCAGTTAAACTGTAAAAAGAGATGGGTCGCAACACTTTAAAGGTGCAGATTAAGTGGGAAGTTATCAAGCTGGAATATATATATATATATATATGCACCAAAATGCCTAACGAAAAGTTAGTAGAGAGCAAGGTGTGAGTAAACCTGCGATACTGTTATGCTAACTAAAAATTTTATCCATTGCCCTGTAGGAAAAACCCATTAAGTTTAAACTTCCTCACAAATTTCAAAAAAGCAACCATAGTTCCCATACACTACACTTATCTCACAATGGAATCGTAGGGGCACATTATGGATAGATTTCACATACAGCAATGAAATAGTTGGTAAGTACTTTCTGTATGAATGTAATCGATATCATACTTCAACAGTAGATACCACGACTATGTATACAATTTATTCGAAGTATGCAATAAATGAAACGCAAAGAATAATAAGACTGCATAATATAGAGCATTCGAATATTCTTTATAAACAGTTATTTCAATTAATCGGAATGATTGCAATGACCTTCATGTCAGTGATTCCTTATTCATAAAAAATGAAATACACTGCCTTGAAGGAATGACTTCTCTTGCATTCAGTCAGATAAGTGTTACGCATATCTACCCATCACTGTCCATGATGGGAACACACCATAACCTACTAGGAATGCAGCCGCATCCGAAACGCGCATACCGGATACCTCCCTTAGCTACACCACCACCACCGCCAGAGAAATAACACTATGGTTTCCTTCTGATTATTTTCCTAGTCAAAACCATGTTTGCCTATTGTAGATTATTCCATTTATTTCCTCCTTCACTATGCCATGCCGAAACATGAAACCGTTATACTTCTGTGTAGGGCTCTACACTGATACATCGGTCAGTCATCAGAAATATGCATGTATTTATGTGAAATTATAAACATTTCGATTATAAGGAATAATGCACAGAAAAGTCACCTACCGCGCTAAGGTTTTCATTTTGAAAGATATTTTAGTCAAATGTCCACGTCTACTTAAGAAATGTAACATAAATATGCTTTTACAATAAAAACTAATGAGATACTTACCTGCGTACAAGCTTTCCTGTTATTTGTCGGTAAACGACATGGGGTATCCAAGGCACGGTCGATTAGGTGAATAATCATTGCCAAACTTTCTTCGGTTACAAGTGGATCACCATACACGAACTAACAATATAATGAAGAGAAAAATATATAGAAACAAAAACATTATAAGTACGGTTTGTATAAGCTTAAGATATTTCTGTAATTAATAAACCAATTAGTACTACAGTAGAACGAATTTTCTACAATTCAAGAACACCTGTCCGTGTATTGTTACCGTATTACTTGTTTGGAGCATTTCGTGGTGCATACACATACACTCTACATCAAATCTCAATGTGAATAATAATGATAATAATAAAAATAATTTCTAAAAATGTCAACACAACGGGTAATAAACTTACAAGACTTAGTTGGGTAAACAGTAAATAGTGTAAGTGACGACTGTGCAACACATGATCTAGACCACGAAAATCTGTTGGCAGTTGTTTCGGTGTACGGAATGGTGGCCATAAAGACGATACATTTGTAACACCATGACGCTGACGGCAACTAAAGCAATAAAAGGTAAATGACCATATAATTATACTTTAATAGTGTATAAAATAACCAGTAAAGGCAAACTAGAATCATATCAGAAAGTGTATTGTGAAACAAGTATAAGATGGGATGAAACAATAGTCAGATAGTTTTTTAATATGCATAGTCAATGAGAACTTCATCTCATTTTGTCTCATGTTCTCATTGACCATGCATATTAAAAATCTATCTGACTATTGTTTCATCCCATCTTATACTTGTTCCACAATACACTTTCTGATACGATTCTAGTTTGCCTTTACTGGCTATTGTATGCTTAAATTAATGGATTTATAATTGTAGAGCCTGAAGAAGAATTTATTGAAAACAATTGTTCGCTCTAAATATGTGGTTCTGAATAAATTATGGGAATATTCAATTTAATGTATAAAAACATATATTAAAAATAAGCGAAGTAATTAAAGAGTGTTAGTTTGTTCAGTCAATCTTTCACAAGCGGTTTCATGAAATTGAATGAAGCCAGAAGTTGTAGTAAAGATATTACGCTAATACTAAAGAATTTCAGCGGAATATTAGGCGGTGTTTTCAGACACAATCTAATGTTGACAGCCATAAAACTATCTCAAGCAGTCGGATAGAACAGAACGCTGATGTTGATGGCAGAATTCTCAACTATCTCGTGGAAAAAAATAACAAATACGACCCAACCAAACCACAGTGGTTACAAACAGTTTCACAACCATGAGTCATAAGCGGACGATGCAATTTGAACGGTTTTTCGAAAAGAATCATATGCGAATTTCTCACAGACAGCTGATAACTCTTGTGACTGCTAGGTGTAAAGTCATAATGGAGGTGTGACTAATTCATACTGTAGACAATCTGCTTTACAAGCAATAAATCCTGAATCATTTAAAAACCTAGTGCTGCGATGATTTACAATAAAAGCATGTATCTGCTAACTTACATTTAACCATCCAATACTCAGGTGTGAAGTCGAAAACGTAAATGCTAAGCTACTCAAACACATTTATGTAATGCAGATGAATGACAGCACTCAAAACGTTGAGATTATTAAAAACACAATACAAAATCAAACTTATGATACTAGTGTTAACGAAAAAAATCACTTACTGTTCTCGATATTTCTCCATAGCTAAAGCTGATTCCCTTCGACTATTTACTCGAAGCATGTGAAAAATTGGATCGAAATCAGTATGCCATAAACTAGGCCGTAGGAAATAATGTCCACTTATAAGGCTACCAGAATTTTCGTCACATGAAGGTGCAGCATAATTAGCTACCTGAATAGTACATATTTTTGTAAGAAGTAAAAAATTGAAATAAAAACATGAAAAACATAATCAAATAATGAGTTAAAATGTATACATGCACTTAGAGAGATCATGAAATTTAATCTTAGCATGGTTTGACTGTAAATAATCGGTAACGCGGTCCCAATACACACACACGGTGAGCCCACATAATGATAAGTTATGTATCATAAACTAATTGCTAGAGTGAGAAAGATAAGATTTATCAGTAGCATATAACGAGACATTTGTGGGTATAAAAGCATCCAAATAGCAGGGAGATACATTTGATGTCAGAGAAAGCAAATGATAGAACCTGGCGGATATACATGGGAGGCTTGAAAGGAATACAAAGAAACACAATATGAAGGCGAGAAGTAGCACAACACGAAAGATCTGTGCAAATGGTGCACTGAAGATAAGGTGTACATAATTTGGTTATATAGAAATGCTAAATTGCAAATTAAAGTTACTTTACATAAGTCTATCGTCCCCTACCGTTACAATAGGACACCCACAGATCTCTCCATCATATATTTATTCAAATGCTTTATTTTGAAGCACTAAGTATCGTTTAGGTGCGTCGGTGGCATAGCGATTAGGACGCTCGCCGACCATGCACATGGTCCGGGGTTCGATCCCCGGCCGACGCACTCCTTTACCTCGCTAAACCAGAAATAATGGTGGTAAAGAGGAAAGGTTGGGCATGAGGCCATCAACCCCATCCTGTAAAATAAACACTGCTACAGAAACTTCAAGCCTCTAGCTTGAAGCCCTATGTTCCACTGAGGAACGTGAAGGAAAAAAAAGTATCGTCGGTCTGCAAAATTTGGGCTACCGATATCCATGCTGAAAATTCCATACTTGTACCAAAAATACAGTGTGGAATCAAGCTGTTATCAAAAATAAAAAATAAATAAATCAAGAACAAAGATGCTTACAAGATGAAAACAAGCTCATTTTATTTCATGACTTTGCACCAGCTCTTGACGGCGTAAGTACCCAAACAATTAGGCTTTCTAATTTACTCATTCGTCTGTCTACGTCATAATTTACATTTGCTTACTGTGACTTTATCTTTTCACTCTTTTCATCCACACTTAACTCTTGAATTCACCATCATACTATACACAAATAAACTTTAGTTGGTCGACTACTTCGATATTAATCATTTAGTATTCACAATACCGCTGTGCTGAAAATTATTATACGCCCGTTGAGTTGGAGTAGTTTTACATTTATTGATAAAAATAACCTGTGATTTTTTTTCTTAGCTGTCAGCAGCTGAAGCAAATAAGCCTTTTTATACGGAGAATGTCTTCGTTCTCGCCTTGTTTAAATTAAACAGGGGATGAAATACACCTCGCGTTTAAACTTCATCCCATCTACAGTATTATAAACTCATAAACAGTCGACTTCCCCATCCTGGCTGCTTGTATCTGATATTGACAATATTACTCACTTATATCGTACACTTTATCTCATGTATTTTCTTGTTTCATTGTCTTTGAGTTTTTACGACTTAGTAACAAAATTACTCTCATCCCCACAGCTTTCCCCTTGAGACAACTTTCACCTCTGTGTGGTGGTAATTGGGACGATATAATTGCATACAACATATTTTAACATGTAATTGATGATGATTTGGTAGGGCTGTGGAGGCGTTCAAACTAACAGTCAGTCTGGCAGTTTTCGAGTCAATGATTTGAAACGAACTGCAATCTAAGTCATTCTATTACCATCCGTCGTCATCCTTACGTCATTATCAGTCTGCTATATAAAAACTGTGATTATCTCGCCAATAATTATAGTGTATATATGACTTCTTTTCTCGCCGACTGAAATTTACCAATACATTTCAGTAGTACATGAGAAAGGCTATAGTACAGAATAATAATAACTCCTTAGATGCCTATTATGTGAATCTTAGATATTTGTGATCACAACAGTTCAACCGTCAAATAGAAACAATATCAACAAAGCACAACAACAACAAAACCTACTTTTTTCAATATATTATCCAGATTATCTGATGTACTAGTTATTCCACAACGTTCAGGGATAAGACTTGAAAGATCACTGCGTTTTCGTGGCTCTGGAGCCAATACAGAAATAAGCTCTTTACGCAGCAATTCTTCCTGAGATAATCCTGAAGGAAAAAAAAAACACCAAAACAATTCAACACACTTGAGTTGACAAAAGTTATACAGAAATGAATGTAGTCGTGTATATAAACTCTTTAAATTTCAGACAGGGTAGAACATTCCATCTTAAATCAAACAATAAATGTATGCAGTTCATTAACTGAGTGGTTTACTCGCTGACTGATCACTGTAGCACTTTGTACAAGTGTATGCGTTCATGTTGCAACACTTCAGAAAAGCACATATAAAAGTATGGAAAAGAGCAATGGACGAAAGTGTACATGAAAGGTGAACATTTAGATGAAGATTAGTGAGGATTTTTAGTATCTGGTTATGAATTATTACTATTTCCTTGGGTTCCGAGTGCAACATAGGGCTTCAGAAGAACATCTGTATTTCATCCTCTTCCCTGTAATCCTCCTTTTTATCCTCACCAATTCTATCTGCTCTGTGTTCACTTGAAGTTCTGTCTTCGCTCCCTGTCTCTACTGCTAACTTGTTGGTTTTCGCCTGTAAAACTTGGAGTTTTCGTGACATTAGGCATAAATCATCCGTAAAGTTCAGATCGTCTAGAGTCATTTTATCGATTCAAAGTATTTCTCTTTCCACAAACCACGCGGTCTACCGCATGACCCAATCCCCTATATGTAACACTGTCACATATAGCTGTTGAATGATATCGATAAAAGTTGTGAATGCATATGTGTAATTGGATGAGTTCAAACCAGGTCAACAACAGTCTCTCAACGCCGATTCTTACATTTCTGAGGATTAGATTCACAAGATTTTCAATTTCTGAATGACTAATCCAATGATTGGATAGTAACCTGCTCACCTTCAAATATGACAGTCCACAACCGAACATTGTTTGTACGATTCAGAAGAACCACTGATAAAATATCACACTTCATAAGTATTTAATGGTACTCAAATTTCACTAATTCTCCAGTTAGTGTTGGTTCATGAAGAAATTGTTTGATGTTACTACAAATAATGTTCACAACTTTGGAAAAATCAATGTTTCATTAGAAGACCAGAAACAACAACAGTTTGGATAAATACCGTTAAATCTCTTACACTGATATGATTCCAGTGGTAATGACTGGACTGACGGAAAATGTCAATTCCCCTACAGCTACAGCATACAAACACAACACTATGTATTCAACACAATTTCTAACATACATCTGTATTATTCAGTCGACTGAATTGATTTTCTAAGCATTTAGCTGGGCAAACAACGTAAGGACATAAAAAATATCACTTAACAAAAGTCATTGATTAATCACTAACCTAGATTATTACGTAAATCCAATATCCAACAAAGATTTGTTAACCATGCTTCTAAAGCCATCGGTTTGCGATCAAGATTTTTCGGCTCAGGTGGCATAATTAAACTCAACAGTTCATTATGAAAGCATATACCTCGTAGCAATTTTGTTTGGTCGACTAAAGCATTGAGAAAATATGCCGGTGGCAGTAAAGCTGTACAAACCTGTAAAACAACAAATTAAAAAAAGAACAATCATTAAGGATAGGAAACAATAGGATATCTAGTCGAAATTATGATAATGATTTATTTGTAGCCACCTGAACTAAAATTCAAGTCACCTCGGTATTTTCAGAATAAGTGATATCGAGATGTTGGCGAAATTGTCGCGTAGGCAGAAGGCGTTCCGCAACCATGACCTATAGGGTGATAGTTGAGGGCTGCAGTCAGCTGCAGAACGATGTAAGTTAGAAACAGGATTTCAACAGGCAATTATACTCAATAGTTTCGTATCTATATACCACCAATTCAAATCTAATAACCCCTTACTCGTTTATTATTGTTGTAATAGGTTGAAATTTACTATCAATAAAAACCTGAATGACTGACTAACTGGTTTCAAAGTAGGATTTTGCACAGATATGCACCAGTTCAACTTGCCACACTCCCTCCATGTACCACATAAAGCAAGAGAGGAAAGTAAACAGAGATACAAACGACAGATAATAAACAGAAGTCTGGGGCAAAAAGAATAGTGATATGGAAAGACAAGATAGTTTTATTGGAGATAATAAGTCACAGGGAGTGGATGCATCTGCACCAACTATTGAGAACGATTTTGAGACATAAAAGGAATTGTCTCCACCCATTGCTTTCTGCCATCCCGACGACTCTAAATAACCAGCCAATCTACACCTCCCTACATGGCTGGCTGAATTAAACTAACTGTTATGGATTCCATTGACTGGTGAAGCCGTCTTTTGGTTTGACCAACACTAGCTCTTGTCCAACATAACCCATCCTATGTTGGCTAACATTGCACACTGCAGAGGAAGGCAATGGCTAGGCATGCGTGACACGCATCCTAACCATCTCACTCGATGTAGCTTCACAGCCTCGTCGAATGATTTCCTCTCCTACCTACCCAATACTCGACCGACGCCTAACCTCAGTATTGTTCACCCTATTAAACTACCACCTGACACGGGAGATAGAATGCAGACGCGTATGATCAAAGACTGCTAGCCTGGCTCTCCATGTCTTCCGCTCTCAATGGCCATGTCTCGCTCACAACCATGAAGGAGGATGGAGCGAACTGCTGAGCAGTAAACACGCTCTTTGGTCGACAGCCAGCCGGATGTCATGTCTACGCCAGAGATGGCATAAACCGACACGAGCCTTCTGTATCTGTGCTGAGACTTCGTCAGCGATCAACCCACTGCCCCTGGCTGATGCAACTTCCCAAATAAGTGAAGTGGTCAACACGCTCCACCAACCAGTTCACTACCTATTTCTAAGCTAGGAGTAGTTGATGTAGTCCAGTCCTGTAGCATCATCTTACTATCGACAAAGGGAGCGAATCGCATGCCGAACATTCGAAGAAACCTGGGTAGTTCTCATTAAAACAATGTTCAGCGTCAATATTAACCATTTTTGTATTGAATATATTAGAATCGTAAACTACTTTTCTTATCATGATGGAATAGCAAAACGAAGCACTGTAAACTTATTCATCAATTTGTCTACACATTACTCTGGAAATGTTTTTTGAGCAACAGACGATTAGATTTATCAAGATGGTGAATCAACCCTCCATGACTATAGTACGATGATAGTAAGGTGGATGCTACACTTTGAACAAATAATGAGATTATTAAATGTGACTACTCTGGATCATACTTTTAAGTATGGTGCACAAAACACATCCAAAACACTGGTGTTTGCATAACACATATTAAAAAATATTCAGTATTCCTAAAACATTTTCTGTTGAATACAGTGAGTGATTTTTGTATATTGGGGATCGAACAAATCATCTTTGGGCATAGCATTAACATTGAAGAAATTAGATGTGCAGTTAAGAGTAGTAGTTCACATTTTAGCAAGGGTGGAAAATAAGATCAGATAATTCTCATTGTATTGACGGTATATGGATGACACCTTTATTATTTGTGATAATGATTCAGACAGGAACAAAATAATAACTCAGTCCAATGAAATACATTCTGCTATGAAATTCACTTGCGAACAGGAATCCCAAAGTAGAATTGCCTTCCTAGACATCCTCCTTACAAGAAAACCAGATGGTAGTATTAAGAGAAATACGCATAGGAAAAGCAGATGGATAGGACAATGTACACATCTTCATAGATCTGTCTGTCTGTCTGGATTCAACATAGAACTTGGCACCGAAGTGCAGAAGTTCGAGTTGCCACGTTCCAAATAGCACACAAGGTAGACAAGAAGATGAGTGAAGAGAATCGATAGAGTTTGACAGATATAAGAGCGAAACAGAATTGGTAATAGTAGAAAGGAATATGAAAGATTACAGAGACTGAATACATCTGCGCTGGCCATTGACAACGATTTTCAGCCATGTTACCTACTGTCTCCAGCCATTGATTCCTAGAGTCCCGAGGGCCCCAACCCGGAAGTCTGCATCTCCCTACCTGACCGACTCAGTTTAACTGTCAAGGATTTCATGGATTGATGAGGCCATGTTTTTGTTTGGCCACCACTGGCTCTTTTCCAACCTGAACCTATATCAGCTAGCAAAGCCCGTCGGGGGAGGCGGTGGTTAGGCATGCGCAGCACCTGACCTAGCCATCTTAGTCTATGTAACTTTATAGCCTCGTCGATTGATTTTCCCTCTTTGCCCAACACTCTACGCCTAACGTCAACATTACTTATCTTGTGAAACCACCTAACGTGAGACAGAGATCGCAGACATCTATGATCGAAAGCAGTCAACCTTTTCATGTCTTCAACGCGTATTGGCCATGTTTCAGAGCCATAGAGAAGGACGGAGCGAACTGATGAGCAGTACACACGTCCCTTGGTTGATAACCGGATGTCACGCCTACGCCAGAGATGGTGTAAGTCAGCGAAAGCAGCTCGAGCTTTTCGGATCCGTGCTGAGATTTCATCGCCAATCAGTCCGTTGGTACAAAAGAAATTTAGTAAAGACTCAGCCACAGGGTTAGAGTTGTATGCTCAGAAGAGTTAAGTAAAGATGAACTAAGGATAGTATATAACATAACATATATAATTGAAAATGACTATCCAGAGAAGTTCATCACGAAACACATAAACAGGAAAGCAGAAAAGGACTATTCTCCATCTGCAAATAATATACCTTTATACATTTGGCTGCAATTCAAGGGTGATACACCTAGTGCAACAATTACTAACGGGAAAAATGATTCAAAGAACTTTTAATGCTATTAAACCACAAGTCATGTTTTCTATACAACCGATGGTGATTTCTCGATTGAAAGATGAAGTACCTAGACTAGCCACTTCCAACTGTAACTACCAATTCAACTGCACTTGTGGAGCTAGTTATATTGGTCGTTACTCGGGAACATCTAACAATGTGGCAGTGGAGTTAAGACCATCAACAGTTCGATATTAGACCACCTGGTGCAAACCGGCCACAAAGCCAGCATTGAGGAATCCTTCACTATTATCGACCGGGTGCCGGATAAACTGACAAGAACATCAAGGTACTGCATGCTCCAAACAGCAGAGGCTATCGCGATTCGTGTGAAACAACCAGTGCTTTGTATACAAAAGAAGCAAGGCCAGCCACTTCTACTGCCCTGGCCTTCCGAGGAGACTATAAATTCATGAATTTGTATTAATACCTTCGCTAATTTTACTCATATTCAGTGTCTTGTTATGGTGATGCTATCAAACTGTAATCCACTGGTATCATTATTGATTCGATGTTATTTAAGCATAAATGTTGTTAATAACACTAATTCATTCACTATAATGTATATATAACTGCAGAACCTGGTGATGAAGTTGTCGAAAAGAATATTCTTTGTTCATTAACCATCCTTTTGAAAAATTCAGAGAAATAAATAATTTCACAATTAAAAGCTGATATTAGGTAATATAACAAGTTCCAAGGGACTTGGCATGGGCACGTCACTGGTTTGGTTTAAGCAAAACTGTCTGAGCAATAGAAGTTTCTTTTTGAAAAATCGACTCACATACTGGATAACATCAGTACGAAAGGAAAAAAGACTAAGCAAAACACGATACAGGAATACATGGCACATTCAGTACAATTTTTACAATTAACATCTAGATGCCCCTAGTAGAACAGCCTTTTTGCTTGTCTCTTGTCTGTCCTTAAAGGACTTTTTTGTTTCTTTCTTCAGAATCTCTACAAGCTGGATAGAAATTTTGATTAATTTTCCAGGTGAATCTGTGCTAAATACTACTTCTGCGTAATTTTATGAGTGTCTGACACTCCAGTGCTACGAAAAAAACAATGGCATTCAACCAGAGAGTGACTGGAAGAGAACTTCACTTCGCGGTAGTTGATTTTGAAAGTGACTGGTGATCGATAAATTACATACATGAATTTCATTTATTTATGTCTCCAGCGGAACATACGGCCTTAAGCTAGAGGCTTGGAGATTCGATAGTTATGATGTTTATTTTTTACGGATGGGGTTGCTAGCCTCATAATCAATGTTCCCTCTCTACCAGTCTTATTACGGGCTTAGCAAGGTGAAGGAGTGCGTCGGTCGGGATCGAACCAAAGACAACGTGCTTAGTTGGTGAGCGTTCGACCGCTGACTCACCGACGCCTATATATATATATATATATATATATATATATATATATAATTAACGTAACACAGAAATTATAATCTGCTGAATTGGCTGTTCGTGTTTCTTTCTTCGAAATTATGAAATGAAATTTGTACATGAAATATGAGCTTACTTGTAAGGCAAATATATCCAAATCAATAGATGAATAACAAAATTGACTTTGCATATAATGTGCAACTGACTGTCTGACACCTTGCCCATTACGTATCCAATAGCCAATAAGGACTTCATGACAACCTAACTATATAAATTGACAAAAGTGGGATATAATGTAAATGTAATAACAAGAAAGGAAAGAAATAATATTTTATTGAAAACAAACCAGCTGTAATGCACTTGCTTAATGAATAGCTAAAAAACCTTAAGTAAAGCTGATAGACCACCACGCATCATATACGAATGACTGCAACTGGAGCTGAAAATTAAACCCTTGTTGATTGCTTCAAAGACTGTCTAAATTATCTTTGAAAATTGAATAATTAGTCATTTTGTTAAGGTACATAAATCTATAATTTGAAAAAGCCAACTATTAGTTGAAATCAACTGGAGATACCGTGTTATTCAAATAACACTAGTTACGGAATTCACAAAAGTATAGATCTATTCACAACTACTAACATGTATCATTAGTTTTTAAAGTGAAATCACCTTTTAATTATCATAAACATTGTGTAAGATCATCAATAGGATATTTCTTATAGTTTTTCAATTACGAAAATAGTTTATTTAACCGCCATAAGATGCGACGCATTGAAACAATGTACTGTGGTTCAATATTAACCTCACTATTAGATCGAATTCACGGTACAAGGTCATTTTTGATATCTGCTTTTCTTAATCTTAAGGCATTTTCGTTAGCTTTTAGTTATAAAAGCATTAAAATATTTTAGCGTGTATGTTGAATCAAAAGCATAATGTTGTTTGAATAAAAGAAGCGCCTCACTGAAAGAAAGCTCACACATCTAGACTATGCATACTAACTGAAGATATAACATAACACATACGCTGACATGTCATATTGACACAATCTTTGAATTTTAATTCAAGAGTAGCTCTGGCAACAGCAATATTTAGAACCGTTATAGGTATATGTATATTCAAGAATGCATAGTCCTAAGACATTTAACCATGGTCTCTGAGTACGGTGAAACCCATGAACATGATACTTTCACCAGCAGTGCGCACCCGTGACTACATCAGGGGTCGAATCCAGTACCTTCAGGTTACCACACGAACTCGTTCAACATTCGTCTACTGAAGAGTCCCAAATTAGAGCAAAACAGGTGTCCAGTAGTTCCTGATTTTCAGTAGTTCTCTGAATGACGTCAATTCGTGATCAAACTTGAAACCAATCAATCAATCCTTAGAAACTAACACTTAGAACCAAAACTGATGAAATCACAGGATATATAGAACTCTTTCAAATCAAATAAACTGTATGACAGACGCGATTCAATTTCATTATAAACAGAAGACAAAGATAAGTGAGGATTAGAGAAGTTTCGTGTGCATTTCGGATTGTGAGGGCGATTGTTACTTCCCGACTGCCCATACCGTGGAAGTTGGTTGCGTGACCGCAGAGCCCAGGGGACAACTGCTTGAGGCCGGTCATACGTGGCCTATTTTTGTTCGTTCTTTATTGTTTGGTGTGTCTCAGTAGCACATTTATCACTTCTGCCCTGTGACACAGCGGTCGTTGTTAATCCGGGTCCCGCCCGATGCGGCATGATATTTTGTGAGTTTGTTTGTATCATAGTATTGGATCGGGTAGCTGCTTTTCGTCTAACCGCTATCCAAACAACCTTTCTGGCATGGTAGGACCTCAAGAGACATAAGTCTCAGCCAGTATAGCCTGTTGGGACATTGGGGTGTTCAAGCCCGACCACCACGTCAAGGTAACAGCTTTCGGTCGGGACTCTTTTTTAGTGTAAACTAACGTTGACGAAATAATTTTAAAGCTGAGAGGCACTTTGATTTTCATGTCCTGATTGGTATATAAAGTTTAAGTTATAATAATTTAATAATATGAAAATAATCAAGTGTAACTAGCTAATTAAAACGCACAGACGATAGAGTCTAACGCAGTAGACTACAAGAGAAACACTTACATTCCAATTACTTCCTAAACTTCCATTGTTTTTAGTGTTATATGTATAAGAAATTACCTAATACGAAATTAGGCTTTATAATAGTGTCCAAGTTACATACATACTAATCAATCGTTGTGCCCCTTACATGCTTTCACTTAAATCTGGCGAATGTGGCAGAGAGTCACAGTTTCACTAACGAAGCATGTAACCTAACTGCACATAAAATGCACAATTAATCAGTCGAAATAATTAATAGATAGTATTAGCCAAACACATTAAAGGTGCTATAGGCAGTTGCAAAGGGGGAAAAAAAGAAGAGAAGTAGACATTTAAGACAATACTTTTGTTATTATGTCTTTTCTAACGAAACAAATAGGCATATAGAACTCACCAAAACATTCACTAAATGTTCCATAAAACGTTTTAATAAACGTGGTTTAGGCAGAAGATATTCCGCCAACAATTGTCTTACATTAACACCATGTTGCATAACAGATAGATGAAGAAAACACGAAACATGACGCATCAATGGTAAATGCAAACTTAATGCTGAACGTGCTGGACGTGTTTCGGGTACAGTTGGAGAAATTAATCGACCAAGATTATTTAATAAATCAGCTAAACTTGATAGACAAGCTTTAGTATACAGTAAACAATGTTCACGTTCAGACTGAAAATTAGAAAAGAAATAGCAGATAGATAAACAGGTTAGAGGATATCACATGTAATAGATAGAAAATATGGTTTATATTGGGAAAATAAAACTATGAAATGTAAAAATTTTAATCGTATAAATAAAGTGAAATTTTTAATGCATGATCACGTTACAGAGCTAGGACGCACTAACTACTGGAATAGTGAGAAGCAATTCTATGAGTCGACCACTTCACCTACTCTATAAGTTGTATCAGTCAACATCGACTAGTTAATGGAGAAACATGAGTGTGGATACAAAAGGATCGTTTAACATTCGTTCACTGGTGTCATTTTCAGTGCCAGTGATAAGTCCAGGATACGAACAAAGAACTTATTTAATCTGCAGCGGTTTGCTTAATCATATGTCAAAAACTGTAAAACATGAACTATGAATGTAGATATCTTCATAGTATTGCTTGTGGAAGGTGGAACGCCACCGTAAGGCATTAAATTAGAGATTGAAACAGTATACCCCCATCACACGTACTAAGTCATTCTTTTCATTAATAAACAATTATATGATAAAGATTGGAAAAGAGTTAAGGTGGTCAAATCAAAACAATAGTTCTGATTGTTGATCTGGATCACCTATCTGGATAAGTTGACTACCTAGGGGACCTTGAAGTACTAAGAATTATTAAATAGATACTCTTGGTGACATGACATTACAGTAGCCTAAACAGATTTACTTGCAGTCATTTAATTATTTAAAACAATAAACAAATTGTATAAGTTAAATTTATTGAATTCACGGAGTCTCAGTAGGATTCATTAGCTTTAGCTGTTAAGATGTATAAGCAAAGTTTGTGTTCACTAAAAAATTTTCATCACATTAAACTATCATTGATAAATTCACTTTCAAACCAAGATTAGTGCACTATTAGTTGGATTCGCTTTACTGGTTTGCAGTGCTTTTTTTGATACGCAAACCTTCAAGCTGACGTAGCCTCTAAGCATTGCTGTATGACCGTGAGTATTCTATCATCAGACTTTGTGACATCTTCACCGCCCACTCCATTAGGAAGTGATGCATATTTGCAAGTTGCATTGATATCTAGACATTACTTTACTCATCTTTGTTCAGTTTTATAGTCAGAAGAGAGATTTTTCTTTCGTAACCTTTCGGCCTTAATTTTTTACTGAGTTAAGGAGAAGAAAGGATTGTTGTGGATTTCATTGGCACCAGTCAACAGTTAGTCTAAGCCACGTAGGAAGGTGTAGACTTCCAGGCTGGGGTCCTAGGGACGGTAAAAATCTATGGTTGGAAACAATTGGTGACATGGCTCAAAATCGTTCTCAGTGGCTAACGCAGATGCATCCACTCCTTGTAACTTATGATCTCCAATGAAACTGTTTTGTTCTTCGTTACTACTTTTCCTTTGTCTCACACCTCTGTTTACTGTCTCTATTATGCATCTCTTCTACTTTCTTCTCTTGCTTTGTGTGCTACATGGAGTGTGGCGGCTTGAAGTGGTGCACATATGTGCAAAGTTCTATGTCGAAAACAGACAGACAAAGGATTGTCAGTGCAAATCAGCTAAAGACATATTTCTTGTCCAGATAATTTATAACTTGTTTTCAATGACAATTTATAACTATTATATATTACTATTACTAATACAGACTTCTTTGTCTTTAAACAACTCATGTGTCTGTGCGTCAGTGGCACAGTGGTTAGGACTCTCGCCGACCATCCACATGGCCCGGGGTTCGAGCCCACGCCGACGCACACCTGATATCTATGGTCGGCCTGCGAATTTTGGGCTACCGATATCCACGCTGAAAATTCCATACTTGTACCAAAAGTACAGTGTGGAATCAAGCTGTAATCAAAATTTAATTTAATTTATTAAATAGTTTTATTATACATGATACAACTGTTCAGTGCCAAGTGATTTTCATTAGTTCTCTAACTGAAGTCAATGTAGTCTACACAAACCCAACTTTTTTCACAACTGCGTGCGAACTAACAGTTTACTAGCATAGTAACATGAGTGGGTAGAAATCTAAACAATTTTAATTGCCAATTTTACGCATTCTCTTTACCTTCTGTTAATACTTCCGAATGACTTATCGATTATCCCTTTCATTTTGCTGCAGTTGATTTTCTGTGATGCTTGTTACATGTCTATGTTTGTCTTATTACATACGTCGTATATAACAAAGTATACAGAGTATTCAGCAAACAAAATATACTTAAACTTCATGAGTGCAGTAGAGACTGCTTCTTGATAAGTCACAAATGAACGATTCCAAAACCCACAAATGATAATGATTACAGCTATCAAAAATATTGCAGTTAAGCTATTAGCTGAGACAACACAGTACCATGAAAATAAACAACCACAAAAAGAAATATTTTATGTGTTAAACATGTATTCGTAATAACTAGGTGATAATTGGTAATCTGGCCATAATGAACACGATTTTGCTTTCCTCACAAGTTGCTACTTTAATGCTACACAGTAGTATAAAACTAATTGTTAAAACTTACTGGAAGCCGACAGTGCTGCCAAAAGTTCCACATTGTACTAGAACTAATTTCTACTTCCATTGTAAAAGCATGATAGAATGTCATTGTCTCATATTCAATATGATTTCCTTCTTTCATCGTAAAACAATTCATAAACTGAATGAAAAGGATTGGTAAATAAAATATATACACGAAATAATAAGTGAGTTCACGTGACAATTAATATAACTTGTCAAGCCCATAAAGTTCGATTCATTATCTGATAGCAACACATAAAAGAATTAATCTCTCCCGGAAAAGATCGATTGGAATTACTTCAGTCACTAATGGAAATGGGGACTATTAGGAGTAGACCAATATATATCTTTTAATTATAAAGCTAAGCAATATTCTATGTTACTTTATTTAATTGATGACGTACACGAAGATACAGTACTATTAAATCGGCTACCATTTGCTTATAGACACATCATAGCAATCACACAACTTTCAAAACACATTTCTTTAATGCATTATTCCTTCATTTGTATAGGTAACAGAATTTTTCAAATATCTGTGATAGGAGTTTGACCATTTCAGTAGGAATATATTGCGTGTGTTGATTTGATGAACAAAGCATAAGCAGTGTATCTCGGTCACTTTTTTAGATTTACATTAGCATTTCGATTGTGATATCTCATTCCGCCGACTACTGAAGATGAGTCCAAATGACACTTGGTGTTTTGTTTAGTGTTCAACCGCATAACTGACTCTAATGTACAACAGGCAGGACTTACATCCTCGTCAAATCAGCTATATCGCCTTACTTGAATGGAACTAGAGCCTAAATTCAACAGGAACAAACGACTTTAAATATTGAGGAAATAATAACTATCGTAGGTTGTATATTCGATAAAAATCTACCTGCGTGTAGTACTTTTTCGGTGATCTACTGAAAACAGTTTCAACCAAAAAACTATGAATTTTTCGAAGGAAATGAAATAAAAAGTTGCAGGGTATCGGAGTGTATTTTGCAACTATTCGGTCAAATCTTGATCACAGTTCATATGAATACCGGAGTGTACTTCAGATATATTATCGATTATTGTCATTCTACTTGAAGATTTTGCGCATGAAGTAAATACTTTGCATCAAAACACTCTGTAAATAAACACGTTTCTTTAGAATAAAACTGCTATTATTATTATATGCATATAAAAGCATACTTAAAATATTTTTAGCAATATGAAAAAGTAACAGATACCAAACTGCAAATCGATAACCATAAACTGGAATTACACGAGCGAGAGTACGTAACAACATGAGTAAATGACGTAACAGTTTCAAAGTCAGAAGCCGCTTTAACCTCCCTACCAGGCTTGTTGACAAACGAGGTGTATCTATTAGTCTGACAGTAGTCACATTTAGCCAGACATTTCAACCTGCATCATTTATTGTAGAAGTCGACGAATCTACTACCAAACTATTCAGTTCATAGATAACTCGCTGAATAAATAGATGATTAAGAATAAAATTCTCTAGAAGTGAATCATTACGAAATGTCCCACCTTACAATAGAAACGAAGTGGGACAATATCGAAACCAAGAAGAAAGGATATCATATTGAAGAGAACAAAGAAATAAATGTTGAGAAATGACTCAACAGTGATTAAAGACAAAATTGCGAGCGAAAACAAGTTTTATCCCCACAACTACACCATGTATCGCACACCCATTTTTAGTGCAGGTAGAGCTAATCAAGAAATTAACTAGACACAGTACTAACAGCTGGTTGATTATGTACACCACGCAAGGGAGTTTTTTTCTGTGTTAATATTAATATCAATGGAAGTTTAGTTGCTAGTTGCCTTTAAAGCCATACTACTGTAACGAGAACTATTCTTCGTGATCCGTTATTTAGATCAAAACATTGTGATTGGTATCATGCCTTTATCTAGTTATCCCCTAAAAAGGGAAGAAATGGAAGTTTAATGTAAGAAAATACGATTCAAATAGTCTAGAAAATAGTGAAATTGATCTATGCAAGGATATACAAAAGTGTGATTTAAGACAATGAAAAAAGAAATGCTATCCCTACCGTGTCCGAGGATGACATGGAGGTGGTTTCGTGAGAAGATGAGAGCCGATAGGCTGTCGTGGAACTAACCGAAGAGGACTGCAAAGAACAGAACAAGGTGGAGATGTGTTGCCGGAAGCCCTTGGTACCACTCGGAACTCAAGGGAATACCAATAATACCTTCACTTTTGAAGGGTCTGAAGAATTCAATCATATGAAGAGAAAAGTTAAACTTTAAGCACCACAACTACCAATCAGCGAACGACCTTCACCGGACCAGTCACATGAAAGAGGGGTTTACGATTATAGAAAACGTATATTCATGAAAAAAACGCATAAAACTGTTACGTAGGGTATCCTTCTCTAACATCTCCCAGTGTAGCATAGGAGTGTCAGTATAAAGTTACACTATATTCTGTACACATATTCATCCAAATGACTATAAATGACATGCTTTTGAGATCCATTCATAGCTCTAATCCTATTTTTTAATCTTCCCCAAAATCCTTCCATGGAATTCGTGTGTCATTGTGATGAGATCCACAAAATCCCTAGAATGGTTCACTCTGTGATGAATATATCCCAGAGATGACAGCGAGTTATAACCTTTCCATTCATCAGTATGTAATATGGATCCGTTTCACAAGTCTAGTAATAATAGGTATTAAAGTGGTTGACTTTCTATCTGGTATTCTCTCAACAAATCCTTTCCACAGGGAGGTGTCATATAAACCGATCACCCAAACATTTTTGGTTCGCTCACGACCACGGCTATATTTTTTCTTCAATAAGAAAGTTTCGTCCACGTGTACGACGACACCTTCACCGCCTAACAAAGAAGTAATTCTCTCCATTTGCTATGGTGCGATATCTCTGCAGTGCTGGTACCATTAAACTGTTGACACAAGGCTATTTTCAGTTTCAGTAGCTGCGCCTCTCACAGGCTGTTTAAAACTCAGTAATTACAAATATACAAAATTTGTGTTACGGAGAGATGTGACCTAGCAAAAAATGTTCCTACGAAATATTAAAATTATCAGCTTACCTTTCGTAATACCAACTCGTCTCAAACAAATTGCACAACGATGTACATATCCGTCAATCGACCTGCTAAAGCTTTTTAAACTCCATATGAACAAGTCCTATCCTTCTTAAGCAACCCCAAATGCAGGCAATACTGCAAAATCTTATCCTCATCGAATTGCAAGTGTAACTTTGTTAAAGCAGGTATCTGACGCGAATCAAGCGCAATACGACCTTTAACTCACGTGGATGAACCTCATTGGACTATTCGAGGTCAATCCCTGATTGGTAGTTAGTGGTGCTTAAAACTTAGCTTGGTCCTACAATTTACTACATACTAATTTGATATATATTCACCGTAAATTCTCATGTAAAACTGAATAAGTCTACTATCCTAGCCATAATAATGATAAAAGAATAAGCTTTTTATAAACATACTTGCATATATCGTATTAGGCTTGTCCATGCAGACAGAAAATCAGAATCTTCAACAAGGATATCAACAATCGATTTGTGCGAAACCAAGTTACTCAAATCAGAGACAAATGGCCAAAATACATTATTTTGAATTAATATTCCATCACAGCTAAGCACCATATTACTTTTGTCATCTAAACGCTAATTGAAATAAGAAAGATAATGATAATTTGGGAAATGTCGTTGGAAAGATTACTAATAACATAAGATTTAATGAGTTTGAAATTGAATTAAGTTCATTGAGTTAAGCGACAGTAAAGTTTATATTCTTGAACAAACTCAAAACAGTTCTCAATAAGTAATGATACAGTGGATTATCATTAGTAATGCATGTAAGAAAATATTTGTGATGACTGTAGAACTGTAACAACAGAAGACAAGGGCCAGGCAACAGATCGTTTATTAAGGAAATCAACACATATCTATTGATTTTCATGTACATATTATAGATTATTGTTAGCAGAAAAACACCCTTCTGATTGGTTGTTTCTCACAGAAAGTTGACATTGCATCTCTTTGTGGCTGTTTCCTGAATGTCAGATCATCTATATGTTAACTGTATCCGCCTACGCAAAGCCTTTGTCCTCGTTTTTATCACGACCAATATTGGGGACATAAGCATTGACGTAAATTACTGACCACCAATTTAGCTAACAGCCAGCTTCCACCACAGAACCACTTGAAACGTTTAAATTATCACGTAACAGTTGTGCTTATGCTCTCAGTTTACATCTGACCACACCTACCCTATTTTTAAGACTTGTATATAGCTATAATTAAATTACACTGACTAGAATGTTTTTCGCCTGAGGTTGCAATATCGTTGAGATTAATTGTAAAATAGTACATCCTATTCAAAAACAGACTAAGATAAGCTATTTCACAAAGATAACACATTTATAACCAGAATATTGTCAAATAAACTTAAGAATACTTTTTTCGAAATTAAACTAATATGAAATCACACACCAAAAGAAGCCTTCAGTTAAATAGCGGCTAAATACTATACAGTACGATTTATTATCTCTCTTTTGAATCTCTCTTTACTCTTTTCTGTTGCTTTGTATGCTACATGGAGGGGGTGTGGTAACTCAAACTGCTGCACATCTGGGCAAAGTTCTACATTGACAGTAGTCAGTCAGTCATGCAATACTACATATCAATTAGTAGTCTGGTGATATTACTTCATCAACCTATGTTAAATGACTTCGATGAGCAATAATGAGCTGTGAAAATACCACCTACATTACCTGGTGAAGTAAACAAAGAAATAAGGAATAGTTATAAATAAAAGTCTTTGTCTTTAAAACATTAAATATAACTAAATAACAACTTACAGTACGACAACATGCAAACATGTTTAATAAACAATGAACAAGTAAATGGTGTAGATTTCTTTGTTTGATCACACGTAGGGCTAATTCTTCACCACTGAATAATTGTACTGATATATGCACAATACGATTATTCATTTGTAAAGACCATTCAGGTGCAATTCGTGCACGTGCAGACAGTAACACAGTCGCTGCAATACGTGTATAATGACTAAGATAAGATTGTATAAATTCTTCCTGTAAATTAAACAGTAAAATAAATGAATATTGGATAACAACGAAAATAGCAAATGTGATAGGAATACTTTGCACTAAAAGTATATACATACTGTTGCAAAAATGTACGACTTTCGCAACAACTATTTCTGTCTTCTTTATGACTGAATGCCTTAAAATAAGCATTAATGAGCCTATATTAAATTTGGCCTAACATTTATAGATCAGCTATTACTTGATTCCCATGCGGGAATATATATGGATCTATGTTCTTTTTAAATGAAGGCATACTAAGCGATTTATTTAGTAACATAAACTAATAGTTTTCCGTAGTTAGGTTTGCAAGGGTTAGTTTTGTTTCTTTGAGGTCCATCCAGATGTCATATGATGTCCCACCTACGACAATGGTTGGGGTCACGCCAAACCACGAATTGGTAGAAGTTAAAATTCATGCACTGGCCATCGAATCGGATCCCTGTGGCTGAATGGTATAGGAGCTTGCCTTGTAACCGGAAGGTCCTGGGTTCGAACCACAGTGGGTGCCTGCTGATGATGATTCCAAAACTGGGGTGAAACGGCTGTCCAGTACTTCCCGAATTTCAATGGTTCTCTAACTAATATCAATCCGTGATCAACTAATATCAACTAATAGTAATAATAACTTTATTTCAAACAGTATTTTTGGTATAGTATGGATTGTTCAGCATGAAGCGTTGCAAAAAATTTGCTCCAAATACAACCACAGGAAACAATCGATGTTAATAACAATAGTAGCGTAGGCATAAAAATCTAAATGATAGCAAGAATGAATTAACCATTTAGCTGAGGAGAGGCATTTACTATGTTACGGTATAAGCACTCCAAGCTCTGCTGAGTCGGTTGTACAGTTGTAGCGGTAGAAATGTCACCAATCACAAGTGCAGTTTGGGGTCCGATCCCAAGCCGATGTACTTCTACACCTATTAATCAGAAGTAAGTCCCGTAATGAGGAAAGGGTGGGCATCAGACTAGTAACCCCACCCCGTAAAAATAACACAAAATGTTACAGAAACTTCAAAGCTCTAGCTTCAAGCCATAATTTCCACTGGGAATAGCAACATGCGAAACTTTGAAACAATAGACAATTTATCACACGGATACCTAAGCTGTTACAGTTATCATCACCAAACACACGACTGATATTGAGGTTTAATTTAAACTATGTGAAAATAGCGCAGATTTTCCACGCACAGCAATAACATTGTAAAACAAGACTTACTTTAAATGCTTCGACAGCTAGCAAACCAATCAAAAATGTTACCAAGCTTTCTGGGAAACGCAGTTTGATTGTTGAAAATATGAAAGCATCCAAAAGTGTTTGATGTACCAGATCCTGATTGCTTATAATAGCTAGATATTCGTATATTGGAGGAAGAAATTTAACAAATAAACAAAGGGTAAGTTTCTATTGGCTTAAGGTATTTTATTTCTCTTAAACCATTGAGTGAATACCTCTAGGTATTTCATGCCTATAAAGACTAACAATATAATGACTTTTTCTTATAATCATAAACAACAGAATAAGGCAGTTATGTGAACGGTAATCAATTCATGATCTTATGTTAGTTCAGTCATTTTGTAATGCTAAAAAGGTGGATGAACATATATTAGGCTACAATATGTAACAATGTGCAACTACCGAACTGTCAAAAGTCTGTTTTAGCCATTTTGGCTGTACTTAAAGGTTGAATGAACTCATTGACCTAAATCCTTTCAATGAACACAAGACTCATACACAAACACACTATTCGAACGCATTTTCCTACCCTAATCTAATAACAGATAAAGAATTCAAGTATTGGTTTGTAGGAATTTGATTGATTTTTACAGGATTTCATCACGAACTGTCATCGGTTAGATAACCATTGAAAAACCTGGGAGTACTGGACAGCTGTTTCGTCCTGGTTTGGGACTCTTCAGCACTGGATCGGGTCCCAATGGCTTAATGGTTTGCGAGCTCACCTTGTAACCAGAAGGCCCTGGGTTCGAACCCCGGTGGGTGCGTACTGCTGAGGAGATAAAGAACTATTAAAAAATAAGAAGTACAAAAGAGACGTCCACATGGAAGTTAATTTCTGGCTCAACAATCATAACAGAATTAAAACTGTTCAGAACACCTAACTTAAACTTTATATACCAATCAGGACATGAAAATCAAAGTGCCTCTCAGCTTTAAAATTATTTCGGCAACGTTAGTTCACACTAAAAAAGAGTCCCGACCGAAAGCTGTTACCTTGACGTGGTGGTCGGGCTTGAACACCCCAATGTCCCAACAGGCTATACTGGCTGAGACTTATGTCTCTTGAGGTCCTACCATGCCAGAAAGGTTGTTTGGATAGCGGTTAGACGAAAAGCAGCTACCCGATCCAATACTCTGGTACAAACAAACTCACAAAATATCATGCCGCATCGGGCGGGACCTGGATTAACAACGACCGCGATTCCTGCTGCCGTGCCACAGGGCAGAAGTGATAAATGTGCTACTGAGACACACCAAACAATAAAGAACGAACAAAAATAGGCCACGTATGACCGGCCTCAAGCAGTTGTCCCCTGGGCTCTGTGGTCACGTGTGCGTCGGTGGCACAGTGGTTAGGACTCTCGCCCACCATGCACATGATCCGGGGTTCGAGCCCACGCCGACGCACACCTGATATCTATGGTCGGCCTGAGAAATTTGGGCTACCGATATCCACGCTGAAAATTCCATACTTGTACCAAAAATACGGTGTGGAATCAAGCTGTAATCAAAAATAAAAATTTCAAAAAATAAAAATAACCAACTTCCACGGTGTGGGCAGCCGGGAAGTAACAATCGCCCTCACAATCCGAAACGCACGCGAAACCTCTCTAATCTCCACTTATCTTTTTCTTCATCTTCAACTCTATCATCTTGCCTTCCTTCCACTGATGCAACTCCTCGACTTGATAGCTCTCCACTTCCTCTCCACTCTGCGTCCACTAAAAACGATGGAAGCCAAAAAACCACCGCCGACAGCCTCCTAAAGCCACGCCACCAATTTCATATAGGAGCTCTTAATGTTAGGACACTTTGCCAAATAGGACAACAAGCATCACTAGCCAAGACCCTGGTATCACGAGCCATTGATGTATGCTGTGTTTCAGAAACACGCATACAAGACCCAAGTGTGGTTATTCACCTAACCCCACCTGGCCAACAGGTTGAATCTGCAAAATTCACCTTGAGGGTGTCAGGAGATGCCACAGTCAGTTCACGAGGATTAGCTGGCGTAGGGATAGCTTTGAGTACTAGGGCAGAAAAGACATTGCTTGACTGGATCCCGGTAGATAGCCGAATGTGTGCTGTCCGTCTGAACGGGTCAGTAAAAAGGAGAAAGGACTGCACTACTCGCCGATGCCTTTTCGTTATCTCTGCCTACGCCCCCAACGACTGCAGTTCGGATGAAACGAAGGATGAGTTCTACCAAAAGCTGTCTAGTTTGGTGAGAAAGGCTAAACGCTCAGATATAGTCGTTCTAGCTGGTGACTTTAATGCTCAAGTAGGGAAATTGTGTCAACCTGAGAAGGTTATCGGTGGCACCTATGGAGTCCCGTGCCAGCGAACCGACAACGGTGACCGTCTCCTACAGTTCTGTTCAGATAATCATTTGTTTCTCGTAAGCACTAACTTTAAACACAAGGAGAGACACTGTTTGACCTGACGACCCCCATCACCAAACCAACGCTGGACACAAATAGACCACATAGGAATAAGCTATCGTTGGCGTGGGTCGGTAGGAGATTGTCGCTCCTTCTGGAACACGTGTGTAGATACCGACCACGCACTGGTCCGCGCTCGTGTGTGCTTGCGACTGAACGGACGTAGGAAACAGCTGGCGGTAAACCCATCACGTCCCCTGTCTGTCTGTCTGGATTCAACATAGAACTTGGCACCGAAGTGCAGCAGTTCGAGTTGCCACGATTTCGGATTGTGAGGGCGTTTGTTACTTCCCGGCTGCCCACACCGTGGAAGTTGGTTGCGTGACCGCAGAGCCCAGGGGACAACTGCTTGAGCCAGGCCGGTCACACGCGGCCTGTTTTTGTTCGTCCTCTTTTTTTTGTTTGGTGTGCCTCAGTAGCATACTTATCACTCCTGCCCTGTTACACGGCAGCAGGAAGCGCGATCGTTGTTAATCCGGGCCACGGCCGATCCGGCACTACTTAGCCGACAGTAAGCCCAGTGAACAAGAAGGTACACATTGATCATGAGGCTAGCGATCCCCCCACCCCCCACCCCAGCTAGCTGAAAGTTTAAAGGCATTCAATACAAAACCGGGGAGTGAAAGACGTCCCCAGCTCGATCAGGAAACTAAATCCCTATTTGAGGAAGAACTAGCTAAACACATATCTGTGTTCGACAGCTGTGCTCACCCTGAAGAAGCTTGGAAGAATATCCAGGCAGCCATAGATACAGCTGTAAAAGCTGTGAATAAGGTAAACCCAAAGGTGAGTAAAAACCACTGGATCTCCACCGCCTCATCCGAACTGATAGATGCTAGAAGACTTATTCCGGCGAGCTCCGAATTCAATGAGGAGCGAAAGCTGCACAAAAGGAAACTTACGAAAAGTCTCCGCAAGGACCGTGAACAGTGGTGGGTGACAAAAGCCAAAGAGATGGAGAAAGCTTCGAGGATAGGCAACACCAGGCAACTCTTTGGACTCATCAGGGAAACGGGTGGGAGAAGACAAATCATTAGTGAAACAATCTCGGAAAAAAATGGCACTATAATTAGCTCCCAGGATAGACGACTGGATCGTTGGAAAGAGCATTATGAGGAGCAGTTTAATTGGCCCACAGCCACGCTCAACCTTCCGAGCATCCAACACCTCCCTGAATGGGATATAGACACAGGTCCTCCATCCCTAACTGAGGTTACTAAAGCTGTCACCAATCTGAAACTAGGCAAAGCAGCGGGACCTGATGGAATGACTCCAGAGGTATTTAAGTACGGTGGAGACAGCTTACTGTCTGCATTAACTGAGGTACTAGGCAGCGTCTGGGAATCAGAAGAAGTCCCATCGGGTTGGTGTAAGTCACTGATTATCCCCATATACAAGAAGGGAGACAAGTCTTCCTGTGATAATCACAGAGGGATTAGCTTGACTAATATAGTATCTAAAGTCTTAGGCTCAATAATCATGCGTAGACTGAGTGGTGCTCGGGAGCACAAACACGAGAGAGCCAGGCAGGCTTTAGACCAGGAAGAGGGTGTATTGATCATATCTTCACCCTCCGACAGATTCTAGAACATAGGAATTCCTACCGGCGTCCAACAGTCATTATATTTCTTGACCTAAAGGCAGCATTCGACTCTGTCGATCGAGAAGTTCTCTGGAGATGCTTGGCTGTAAAGGGAATTCCGAGAAAATATATTGCACTGATTAAGGCACTCTACTCGTACTCATACAGCCAGGTGAGGGCTTACGGCGAGCTGTCATCTGAACTGGTGACGACCAGTGGTGTCCGTCAAGGATGCCCATTATCCCCTTTTCTATTCAACTTCATCATAGATGTGTTAATGGACTTAACCCTAGGTGACTTCAGCGACTCAGGGATTGACTTGCTACCAGGGAATAATCTCGTTGACTTGGAATATGCAGACGATATAGTCCTTCTAGGCGAAGACGCTGACGAAATGCAGAGTCTTCTAAACACCTTGAGCTGCAATCTACGAATGTTTGGCATGCGATTCGCTCCCGCCAAATGCAAGATGATGTTACAGGACTGGACTACATCGACGCCTAGTTTAAAAATAGGAAGTGAAGTGGTAGAGCACGTTGACCGCTTCACTTATTTGGGAAGTACCATCAGCCCCAACGGGCTGATCTCTGACGAAATCTCAGCACGGATACAGAGGGCTCGTTTCGCATTTGCCAGTTTACGCCGACTCTGGCGTAGACGAGATGTTCGACTATCGACCAAAGGGCGGGTGTACTGCTCATCAGTCCGCTCCGTCCTCCTTTATGGTTGTGAGACCTGGCCACTGAGAGTGGAAGACATGAAAAGACTAGCTGTCTTTGATCATAGGTGCCTGCGCTCTATTTCCCGTGTAAAGTGGCATAATAAGGTGAGCAACATTGAGGTTAGGCGTCGAGTTCTAGGTAAACAGGGGAAATCAATCGACGAAGTCGTGAAGTTACAAAGACTGAGATGGTTAGGACATGTGTTACGTATGCCAAGCCATCGCCTCCCTCGACGAGCAATGTTAGCGGATATAGGGTCAGGCTGGAAAAAAGCTAGCGGCGGTCAAACAAAAACTTGGCACCAGTCAATGAAATCCACAACAGTTGGTCTAAGCCACGTAGGAAGGTGTAGACTTCCAGGCTGGGGTCCTCGGGACGGTAAAAATCTATGGTTGGAAACAATTGGTGACATGGCTCAAAATCGTTCTCAGTGGCGCAGATGCATCCACTCCTTGTGACTTATGATCTCCAATGAAACTGTTTTGTATTTCTTTATTACTCCTTTGTCTCACACCTCTGCTCACTGTTTCTATTATGCTTTTCTTGTACTTTCTTCTCTTGCTTCGCGTGCTACACGGAGTGTGGCGGCTTGAAGTGGCGCACATTTGTGCAAAGTTCTATGTCGAAAACAGATAAACAGACAGAAATGTAATGGTTCAAGCTGCTAAACTTGAACCAAGAGCAATAAAAGTGAAACAACAAAACAGCGAGTCAATGGTATCCTCGATATTGACCAGTGGTGAAAACTACTATGAATTGTGAGAAATACTCTTTAAGCAATGCCAGTTAATTGACTGATGAAAAAAAACAATAAATCATGACAGCAGTGTAAAAAACGTAAAAACTTCTTACGTGGAAATTCGAATTCAGGATTGCTCGAGACGCTTAACTGATAATCCTCACACGCTCTTCGACTTTCACTTTCTGTTAAGAAAGAAGTTATCAGGATAATTCTATTATTCCTCAATAAAATAACCAATTAAAACATACTATACAAATATATATATATATATGTATGTAAAATAAAAATCGATATGGAAGAATGTTAGCTAACAAGTTGTAACGCAGACTATGCTTTGTTTCCTTCACACAGATAGAGTTCTGTTTACACATAAGTTGTAACCAATAGGGTCTTCGTAACAATACTTTAGGATAAACTGGATTGTTTCAAACCATGATGGCTTTAAACTCATGCATTAAATAATGAGATAATACACGGAGATTTCATTTTTTAGCACTCATCAGATTTTTTATGTATCAGGCTACAAGTGGAAATTATTAAGATGATTCCCAAGCGATAGCTGTTACTTTGACGTAGCGGTCGGGCTTGCATGTCGCAAAGACCCAGCAGGCTATGCTGGCTGAAACTATTGTTCGTCCGGGTCCTATCATGCCAGGAAGACCGCTGGGATAGTGATTAGACTAAATGCAGCTACCGACATAGTGTACAAATTTTTTTACACTGCTGGGGAACAGGGGTGTAACAGCAGTGAGGTGTTTCCCTGAGATAACCTGCATGCCAGCTATGCCACCTCTCCACTCTACAGAGAAGCGGTTAAAAAAAGTCAACCCCAAAAATTGTACATCCCGACTTACCCTACGGTGCTCCGTAACCGGCGGTAAGTTACTTATACGGAACCAAACCAAGAAACCAGTTCATACAGGCCACATGTGACCGGCCTCAAGCAGTTGTCCGCTGGGCTCTGCGGTCACGCAACACTTTCTGCTTCAGGTACCCGAAGAATCAATCAATTTCCACGGTGTGGGCAGCCGGGAAGTAAAAACCACCCATACACTTTCAAAAGCACATTATTCTCCTTTACCCACATCATCATCATCTTGCTTCCCTACTGCAGTTAGTACTATCTTTTAGGCTAGTGAGTCATCTTTACATCACTTTGACCACAAACAACGATGAGAGCCATAGAAACACCTCCAACAGCCTCTTAAATCCACGTCGCCAACTTCATATAGGATCACTCAACGTCAGGACCCTCTGCCAAATTGGAAAACAAGCATCACTAGCAAGAACCTTTGGCATCTCGAGCCATGGATGTATGTTGTGTTTCGGAGACACGCTTACAAGACCCGAGTGTGGTTATTCATTTAACCTCACCCGGTCAACAAGGTGAATCTGCAAAATTCACTTTAAGGGTGTCAGGAGACCCCTCAGCTAGTTCGCGAGGACTCGCAGGTGTAGGGACAGCACTGAGTGTCAGGGCAGAAGCTGTCTAGTTTGTTGCGATAAGTAAAACGCTCAGATACAGTTGTTTTCGCAGACGACTTCAATCCTCAAGTGGGGTAGTTAGGCCAGACTGAGAAGTATATAGGTGGTACATACGGAGTTCCCTGCCGACGAACCGACAACGGTGGTCGTCTTCTACAGTTCTGTTCATGTAATCATCTGTTCCTAGTTAGCACTAACTTTAGGCACAAAGACAGATATCGACTAACCTAGTGACCTCCATCACCGAATCAATGCTGGATTCAAATAGACCACATAGCGATAGGGTATTGTTGGCGAGGGTTAGTAGAAGACTGCCGCTCCTTCTGAAATACGTGTGTAGACTCCGATCACACTCTGGTCTGCGTACGTTTATGCTTACGACTAAATGGACATGAGGAATTTTTGGCAACGAAACAGTTACATCCCCAACTAGATCGAGACATTGAGTCCCTATTAAAGGAGAAAATAGCGAAACGAGTGCCTGAGGTCGACAACAAGACTAATCCTGAGAAAGCCTAGTACAACATATGGTTAGCTGTTGACACAGTTGTAAAAGCTGCTAATAGCCTAAAACCAAAAGTTTGTAAGAGCCATTGGATTTCTGCCACCTCACCCGAACTAACTGACGCAAGAAGACTGATTCCGGAGAGCTCCGATTATGATGAGGAGCGGAAGCTACTCAAACGAAAACTAACAAGAAGTCTTCGTAACGGCCGTGAACACTGGTGGGAGAAAAAAGCGAGAGGGATAGAAAAGGTATCGGCGACTGGTGATTTCTGCCACCGAACTAACTGACGCAAGAAGACTGATTCCGGAGAGCTCCGATTATGATGAGGAGCGGAAGCTACTCAAACGAAAACTAACAAGAAGTCTTCGTAACGGCCGTGAACACTGGTGGGAGAAAAAAGCGAGAGGGATAGAAAAGGTATCGGCGACTGGTGATACCAAACAACTATTTAGGCTTATCAGGGAAACATGTGGTAAAAGGCAAATGATAAATGAAACAATCTCTCAGAAAAATAGCACCATAATTATCTCCCAAGACAGACAACTGGAACATCGGAAACAACACTATGAGGAGCAATTTAATGGGCCTATAGCGATGCTCAACTTACCGAACATCCAACACCTCCCTAAATGGGATATAGACACAGGTCCTCCGTCCCTAACCGAGGCAATTAAAGCTGTCACTAGTCTGAAAAGAGGTTAAGCAGCGGGACCTGATGGAATGACTCCAGAGGTGTTTAAGGACGGCAGAGACAGCTTACTCTTCGCGTTAACTAAAGTATTAGGTAGCGTCTGGGAATCAGAGGAAGTCCCGTCAGGCTGGTGTAAGTCATTGATTATCCCGATATACAGGGGAGACAAGTTTTTCTGTGATAATCACAGGGGGATTAGCTTGACCAATATGATATCTAAAGTTCTAGGCTCAATAATAATGTGTAGACTAAGCGGTTCTCGGGAGGAAGAAACACGAGAGAACCAGGCCGCCCTTAGACCAGGAAGAGAGTGTACTGATCATATCTTCCCACTTCAACAGATCCTCAACAGAGCTGACTTGAGTGACTGGGGTATATTTTCACCAAATACACGGTTTGTGAAGAGGTGAATCACCGGTTTTCCTCACAAATCTCAACATAGATCGCTCACACAGACTGAGCATTAAATCAGTGAAGTTCGGATTTCTCAGCTTTCTAAAACTATCACAATGTTTATTGTGTAAGCTGGTAGTTTTGCTTCGAGTAATAATAATAATAAGATAATCCACATGAAACAATATAAATTAAGAAACATACCAAATATTAATTTCTCGTAAACCATCTTATCAATCATGACGTCAGCTATCAACTTTTGGGTTACCCACCCACTAGCATGTAATGCATGAAGGATTGAAATAGCAGGTGTGTCATCCTCGCTGAAATTTAACCCTTCATTATCTCTGCCATATTCCCACAGCCAGTATAACAAGGCAGATAAGAAACTTGGAAGCAGGCATCTAAGGGGGGCAATCAAATCATCAGGTGGTATTGGGCGGTTGTGGACTTTGTCTGGTCCATGAAAACGGCAAAACCTACATAAGTGGAAAAATATAGATAAGTGTAAGTAAAAGTTTATATTCGAATTCGACTACGGATTGATATCGGTAAGAGTACCATTGAAAACCAGCACGGAGTAATGGACAGCTGTTTCATCCCAGTTTGGGAATCATCGGCAGCAGGCACTCACTGGGGTTCGAACCCAGGACCTTCCGATTACAAGGCAAGCTCGTATAACATTCAGCCACTGAAACCCGATTCAATGGCCAGTGCACGAATTCTAACTTTTAGCAATTCATGATTTTTAGCGCGACCCCGACCCATAGTCATCAGCGGAAAATCGATCCCTACTCCCGACTGGATGGACCTTACTGGTCACTAGAACTCCAAGAAATTCCGTCCTGTAGCAAGTCACCAGAGAGTATCAGAATAATTTTCAAAGGTTGATTTGTAAGGATTTGAAAACAAATTAAGTCACTCCAAATCACCCCATAAAAGTTTATATCTAGATAGCAACTTATGGCATCCCGTATGCTATCACACTGCTTCATTAAATCTACGTTATAAGACTTTGCCTATATAACTTTATTAGTGTTTGTTACCGTCAGTCATTTAAACAGTGAAGCAGTTTGCATAGGAAATCATTGTGGTGGCTTCGGAAAAACAAGGCTTCTACAGCTGAAGACTATTCCAAATATGGTGGGTAGTGTGGTTCAGCAGAAGAGTGGAGAACGTGAGACGATATAGTAGCGTTTCATTTATTTGATCTGTCTGTCTGGATTCAACATAGAACTTGGCACCGAAGTGCAGAAGTTCGAGTTGCCACGTTCCAAATAGCACACAAAAGTAGATAAGAAGATGAGTAAAGAGAATCGATAGAGTTTGACAGATATAAGAGCGAAACAGAATTGGTAATAGTAGAAAGGAATATGAAAGATTACAGAGACTGAATACATCTGCGCTGGCCATTGACAACGATTTTCAGCCATGTTACCTATTGTCTCCAGCCATTGATTCCTAGAGTCCCGAGGGCCCTAACCCGGAAGTCTGCATCTCCCTACCTGACCGACTCAGTTTAACTGTCAAGGATTTCATGGATTGATGAGGCCATGTTTTTGTTTGGCCACCACTTACTCTTTTCAACCTGCACCTATCTATATCAGCTAGTAATGCCCGTCGGGGAAGGCGATGGTTAGGCATGCGCAGCACCTGACCTAGCCATCTCAATCTATGTAACTTTATAGCCTCGTCGATTGACCTTCCCTGTTTGCCCAACACTCTACGCCTAACGTCAGCATTACTTACCTTATTAAACCACCTAACATGAGAAAGAGATCGTAGACATCTATGATCAAAAACAGCCAACCTTTTCATGTCTTCAACTCGTATTGGCCATGTTTCAGAGCCATAGAGAAGGACGGAGAGAACTGTTGAGCGGTTGATATCCGGATTTCACGCCTACGCGAGAGATGGTGTAAGTTGGCGAAAGCAGCTTGGGCTTTTTGGATCCGTGCTGAGATTTCGTCGCCAATCAGTCCGTTGGTGCTGATATAACTTCCCAAATAATTAAAATTTATTTACTAATTTATTTAATAGTCAACAGTTGTTTTACGTATTGTTTCTCACAAGCGTGGATATCTGTTATCTACATTCTCTTTAATAGAAAATAACAGCTGATAGCTTGAAACAGTCGGTGATATGGCTCAAACTCTTTCTCAGTGGTGCAGATGCATTCATTCTTTGTGTTCTTCGAGGTACACTAAATTCTCATATCCCTCCATATAATTATTCTTCTTCCTGTACATTTCCGACCACAATTATCCGAATTCTTTCTTTTTCTTTACATTCGTGTGCTATATGAACTATTGTAACTTGAACTGCTGCGATGAAACTTAGTAAATGTCTTCAAGCAGTATGTGAAAAAACGTGCACTACACTATTTTGCAGGTTAGATGTGGTAACAGATATCTATTCATTTATTTATAGAACTCAATTACCAATTATTGAACTATGAGCCGCATTTATCGAGTGGGGCTTATGATACTACCCACCTTCCCAGAAAGAAGTAACTGGATAGGAACTCGAGCCCAGGACACTGACCTAAAATCGAGTCCCTTAGCGACATCACCAAAATATACGTATCACTTAAGAAAGCAACCCAGTACGCGAATCACACACATTTAAACCAATCAACCACACTGAGTATATTCTATGAATAAACTGATGAAGTTGAACATTCAATCTAAAACAAATCAACCGTAGTAACACTTCGAAAAACGCAACAACCTGAAACCCGACAAAACAGTCGTCGTCAATCATTCAACATTTATTAGCTGGACAGTCAAACTTCACATAGAACTCTGAATGCGAAATTAATTAACGTAAAGACTTGCATCACAGGCGCAACAGCATATAGGAAGTAGGAAATGTTGATAATGAAATCTAAATATCTTATACCTCATTATATGACGCTGAATAGTGACTCCCACAATTCACGTAATCAACGCCGAAAATTCCACTGAAACTTTGAGCTAAAAATGAAGATAAGTAGTCAGTGGGTGAACGAGTAAACACGCAAACATACCATGAAAATGTTAGACAAACAGCAAGTACATAAAAAGAAACTGCATATATGTATATACTTAGTGGTGGTTGTGAATACAAACAGACTTAATAACTTACCCTGACTCCTTCATTACACAAGCATCTCCGCAATCACATGCACCACCAGCATGACTTTTAAACTTGTTAAAGTCGTGACCTTCGTGATTACCAGCGGTGAAGCAGGAACTACAGAGAGACATGCTGGGAGACATTCCACAAGTCCTACACCGATATGCAAAGTAATTAGTTGTCCACACAAGACTACATCTGGCTGAATAATCATATTCTTTCACTGAAGAACGTTATTATTATAAGCAATCAGTCTTATTAGTTTTAAAACTCACGTTTGCGTCGCAGGTTATCAAAACCAATCGCCCCAGATATAAGGTATTCAAATAACTTGGTCATACACAACATTTTGTTTTTAGTTCTGAATCGGCTAGTACAAAAGCAGTGAAATCGAAAAAGCTTCCGAATGGTGGAATAAACAGGAGAATCAAAGTGTCCATTAACACACGCCTCATGAAATTCATTCCGGAACTCCTCCTCAGTCATATTTAGCTTACTACAGACATAAGCGATAAATTGTGGTGGGTCTTCGAACTCCATTGCGTCGATATTCATCATCTTTGTAAATATTTGAAAAACTCGCCTCCTCTGTTGAGGCCGTTTTGTTTTACTCTGTAGTGTAGCAAAACCTTAAAGTTGCTACCTACATAACAAGACATATGTTCTCAGATCTTCTTAGATCAAATAAACCAATACAGATAGCCGCTTCAGCGTTTATCACTATCTCCACTCACTGGCTAAACACTAGGCAGAACAAGCACGTATATAATAATAATAATTATGTATATTCTCATATAAACATATAAATTGACATGAAAATGCATGCCATTTTTACAGGCACGATCAAGTATGATATAATATCAAATCGTAGATTGTCTACAAGTTAATAATATTTCAACAGTTAAATATTTGATATATATATATATATAAATACACATTGTCTGAACTAGGCTGTATAGTTATTGAATTGTACAGTTGTCCTCCAGGTTGAGCGGGAAAATCGACTTCGTTTCGTTTTCATCCCGTGGTTGTCAGCATACGATAACCAACCAATATTGAGGTAAGTACAACGTTTACAACGGATTGAAAGCTGTTTTTAGAAAAGTAAAAGTGCTAAGGTGAATCAATAAAGTGTAGTGAAATGGGTAAGTGCAAGTATCACTAATAAATGCATTAATAAAGGAAACTTCCTAGGCTGACAACGTTCATTTGCAATGTATAATGCTTCCTGTACAGTTTGCACAATCATGATGTCCACTTTTGGTTTCAATACATTTTTTCCTTATGTCGGTTTTTTTATTTTATGCCTTTTTGTGCATTTGGTGCACAACCGTACCCTACAGAGAATAGGAATAGAATAAGTCGAATCAAATTCATAAAAAGCTATAAAATGTTAGGTTTAATGGGATATAATGAGGATCAAGTAAAGACGTTATTGGAAAATAAGTGAGACAAGACATTGTGAAGTGGTAGTTAAAGATCCGACAATGGACAGCAAGTTGATTTATAAGATGCCCCATAAATCTGTGCAGATCCCGCATGGTCGCATCTCAACAATAGGCTGAGCGAATGGTATATATTTAAAGGTAGAAGCATGATCTGTCAAGGCGTTCATTGTTATCTTTTTCAAGATAAAGATCTAAGCCCTCATAAAAATCAGAAATATCTCGAGCCTTTAATTTGTATATTGCTGTTCCTGCAGAATGGGGTGATTCACCTTAGTGACCCCCACCATATCTACTGATCAGCTAACGCCACCCTCCCTCCTTTTTTGATGTTAAGCTCTGAGACTATGATTATTATGGCTACCGCAAATATATTGCTTGGTACCAGACATGTTCGTACCCCATATTCCATCTCCCTAGCTTTCTTAATGAGTGCTTCCAATAGGTCTCCGCGTACATCTTTATGAACATTATATATGTATGCATGCGTCCTAATGAACAGATTACTTTACAAGAAGTTAGAACCTTAAGGAATAAAAAGAATAGGTTTTGTGAATAGTGAAGCAAGATTCAGCAGAACAATATAATTAGGGATCAATGTAGGTAGTATGAACTGAAGGTAAGGTCGGTTGGCAGGACTTAGTGTACTAAATTATCATGACAGTCTTATATATAGTCAACATTTGACATTGCAAAGTAACCTGTCTACATATATTATAAAAAGATATTAACAGAACCAACAAAATTTCAGCATTTGGTTAACAATACTACAGAAGGGTAGTTAGTACTACAGGTAGTCGTGAAGTAAATCAATCTATGTATAATAAGAGCATAGTCAGTGTCATAATTCGTATTATCAAAGAATACATTATTCGACTAAGTTCAGGCTTTTGGAAAAGAATTGAATAATGCTAATCACCGAAACATTTGTGTTAACTATTCACCCTGTATTTTTATACCAGCAATAAATAAACTGACTGCTTCGGCACACATTGAGAGTGATATGTTTCTGTGATTTCTAAATCAACACTTTACCAAGCCACTCACTTCAGCCCTCACGAACACAATGTCCTTAATTGTGCATAATCAAAGCTGGTCTGAAATCAGTAGGCCTGATTAGGCTTTACTGCATCTCCAAGTATATCAAGTGTTGTTTTGGCGATTACACAAACGAACGCCATTTTGTGCTATTTCCTTGTGTTATTAGCACTCACATTCTTCGAGACAGTAATGCAGACTTATCAGACATATAAGTCACTTATCCTTTTGCTGAATAATAAATTTTATATCATTCAGGCACACCGCTCACCAGAGTACACTGCCATTTAACTGAATCTTTTTGATTTCTGTTCTGTTATCAGCACTTACATTTTAAATGGATAATGGTTTCATATGTGGTTAGGAGATATCATTCATGGATGCCTCGTATACTTTAGCTTATCAGAAGAACTACCAGCACCTTGCAATTTTATGCTCAAATCTCAAGCCCAACTTAAACCACGCCCAGTTTACTAGCCAGCTAGTTTTCTGACCGGTCCCAATCCGAACTAAAGAGGGAGTTGGGGCAAGAAACCCTATACTACATAACCAATCAAACTGCTATAGAAACTTCAACGCATAGAGAATATACTAGATATACATATATTTCAAATAACATTCTTATTCTTCGCTCGAATCTGAGAGGTGAAATGACACAGTAGGCTGGTGAAAGCCTCAGGGAAGCCTGTCAGTCAGATGACTTGTCTTCTCTCGATGAAAGCAAGAATAAAAATGGGGGACGTGAGATGTCATACAACGTATGGTGCTGGGAAGACTACCCAGGTAGCCAAAGAAATGAGATCTGGCCCAGAAGTGATGGGTATCCGCGAGGGCAAATGGAATGGAAGCGGATTGTCAAAATTATCAGCTGGGGAGTCAGTTATCTACTCCGGTCACCAAGACGACGACCACAAGCACACTGAGACAGTGAGTGGCTATCATTATGTCACCAGTGGCAAACATAGCCCTAATGCAATGGGAACCAATTTCATCCAGGATCATGATAGAGAGATTCAACCAAGGAGGAATGAAGTTCACAGTCATCCAGTGCCACGAACAACGTGGAAAAAGAGAAGAAGGAAGATTTTTACAGACATTTTCAAACACTAATGGACATCGTCCAAGATGGAGACATCAAAATCCATATGGGCGGTATGAATGCCCACTGAACTGGGAAGAGACATTCCAGGAAGAGAACTAATCATGGGTCGAGAAGCTCTCGATGAAATGAATTATAACGGAGAGCTCTTCGCAGACTTCTATATCTTCAGTATTTTCGTGACTGGAGTTAGAGTGTACAAACAAGAGGATACACACCTGGCAACGTTGATTTCACCTGTCAGATACACCAAAATCCCAGATAGACATCATCTCAATCTCAAGGAAGTGGAGAAGCAATCTGCTGGACACAAAGTCGAAAAGATGGGCTCAGAACATTGTCTAGTGCAAGGAACCTTCAGAGGCCAAGGTGAAAGCCTTCAAAACAACATACCACAGTTCAGGTTCAGTATTCGAAAACGAAACAACTTCACTGCAGCCATCAGAGGAAATTCAGAGACGTTACGTACCATCCCTGAGGAGAGCTGAGTGAAGCAATATTGAAACCTTTTATAAGAGAAATTAAAGGAAAAGTGTCCTTACATTAACTTGGAAGCTAGCAGAGATGGTACAAGTGAATATGAACTGATGTAAAGATGGGCATCAATAGGAGGATCTGAGTTCAACCTACAACAAACTGAATAAAGTGATGTAGGGTGCTAGGAAAGACAAAATACAATTCTTTGACGTACCGGAAACTTAAGCAGACCAGTCCTCAGGTCAAAGAGACTTCAGGACATTATATCAGATAACCAGGTCTCTCTCCGTGAAGACATCAACCCGAATGATGAAACCAATAAGAGATGTTAAAGGGAACCTAATCACCGAGGAGGAGAGACAAATAAAACAATGGGCTAATCACTTGAAAGGACTCTTGAGCTGACCACCACCTGCAACTCGCCTAGAAATACCACCGCCTGCAACAGCACGCACAGAACTGCCTACCAGCGGACACCAATCCTCTAACGAGGACAGAGACCCTGATTGTGATTAGGCCACTGAAGTCTAGGAAGGCAGCAAAGCTAGAATACATTCCTTCGAAGCACTGAAAACGGACCTAGAGAATGTAGCAGATATGCTCACACCACGAACTCTTGCGCTACAGGTGTTCAGTTTCTGGGTGAATCATTTTTCCTTAATATTTTGGAAATTAGCCTCTTTCTTCATATTATCCAGTTATCCATAGTCAACAAGGATTGTATTGTATCAACTGGAACAACATATGGCATTCGCTCGTGAAATCTACATCAGGATTCTTCGGATAACCTCCCCAACCACGTGGAACTCAGGACTTTATCCACAGCAAGCACTGTAAAGGAAAGTCTAACTTTTTATTTGCATATATATATATGTTTATCGTTGTTGTTTTGATGCTTCGATAATACAGCTATCTTATTTTTATATCCTCAAGACATTTTTTCCGGAAATAGTGAAGTTTATTGTTTCTGTAATAGTTAAGTCTATCAAACGTGTAAGTAACGTTAAGAGACTGAGATCTAATACTAGTCAACCATCTGAAGGCCTCAGCTCCGTTGACGATTCTACACCTTTTAAACCAGCCACACCCAGAGTTATGGTATCTGATATCATGGAGGAATTGACAGAGAATGCGGCTTGTAGAAAAATGATTTACTGAAACTTCAGAAGTCAATAGCGGAACTACAGAGCAAGTTTGACGGCATTATGCCTCTCACGCAACTGTATGACCCATCACAAAACATCTGTCTTGAATCACTAATCAAATCCGAGCGCATAATTGACTACTTGGCTGAAGAAGCTGTTAAGAGGATTATGTCTTCACATAACATCTTGGCCTATAACATTCCAGACAGACAGCCGATTGCCAAACTTAAGAATTCGTGTCTAAAGGCTTGTAATATATCGTTGACAGAATGTCAGGTTTCGCGTCTTCGTAAGAAATCTGCAAACCACCCATGTCCGGTGTCTTACAAGTTTAGGTCTGCTGAAGCAGCCAGG